TTAGGGCGCATTTATTTAACCAAAATGGAGAGTATATCTCGATTAGTTTATCCAACCTGCAGTACTGCAATTTCAAACAACCTAATTAAAAAGATTAACACCATCAATTTTAACTTCATTTGGAGAAATAAGCCACACTATATAAAGAAAGATGAAATGGTCAAAGAAATTAAAGATGGAGGCTTAAAAGTAATAGATTTCAATTGCCTTAACGGAACACTCAAAATTAATTGGCTAAAATCTTGGCTCAAGAATCCGAACGCTTTCTGGTATTCTATCCCCAGTCATATATTTAACAAAATGGGTGGTCTAAAAATTTTACTGTTATCAGATTTTGATATAAACAAACTGCCCACAAAATTATCAGAGTTCCACAAACAAGTACTAATGTATTGGAAGTTGTTGTATGTACATAATTATTCCCCTCACTCTTCTATAATTTGGAACAATAGATATGTATTATGCCGTAATAGGTCACTATTTTATGAAGATTGGATGAATAGGAAAATTTGGTCTGTTGTACACTTGATGAAAGATAATGGTGAACTACTAGGGTACGATGAATTTTGTCTTAAATATAACTTTAGCCCTCCTAAATCTGATTTTATAAAATTATTAATAGCACTTCCTAAAGAGGTGGTCTTCCAGTACAGAAACATTATTCAACACCAACCTATAAATCCACAGTATGGTTCTATCTCCATCCAAGGTATTCCCCTTACGGATAAAAAGTGTACCAACCAATTTATTAGACGGTGTTTTACTGATCAACTATACCCTTGTAAAGTCAACAAGAACAACATAATTTACAAATTTGGTAAAAGCTCCATTATTAAACTAAGGACTCTTTATTTAAAACTTCCTGTTCAACCTAAAGTCAAAGAAACGCATTTTAAAATTCTAAACAATGTCTATCCCTCAAAGGATCTGCTCAGAAAACGTTTTAACATTGATGATAATTCATGTTCCTTTTGTGGGAAGGATGTTGAAACAACTGATCATATTTTCTTTGAATGCAACAAGACACGGACGTTTTGGAACTGTTTTGAAAACTGGATTCAACCTCAGATTGGAATCCCATGTCCCATTTCAAGAGATGTCGTCACCTTTGGAACTCTCCTTCAAACAAACAACCAAGAACTCTGCTACAATCTACTTCTCTGTCTGGCAAAATTCTTCATACATAAACAAAAAATACTGAAATCACCCCCTGTGTTCAATGCATTTGTACATGATTTTAGATTGTATCTAAGATCCCTTAAATGTATCAATAATAACAGCTATGAAGATATGTATAGACTTTTTTGTAGACTTCCTGGAACTGTGTAGTGGTCCCTTGCATTGTTTTTGTGTTGTTTTTTTTTTTGTTGTTTGTTTTTGTCCTCCCCCTTTTCACTGACTGTTCAATTCTCATCTGAATACATTGGCATGTTCGCCTTATTTGTAATGTAAATATGCTTTTCTGCAAAAAAAAAAAAAAAAAAAAAAAAAAAAACGTTGGTCCAGGCAAATCTTTCTAATGGAAAGATGGACAACTTTTACAAAGAAATCCATCATTACCTCTTTGAAAATACGCTTGTAGCATAGAGCTGCATGTATATTAGGGCTGAACGATTAACTGCATGTGCAATTAAATTGCGATGAGACAAAAGGAGATTTTCTAATCTCAAAGGCTTCAATTTGGCAGCGAGTGGTTAGCGCAATGCTAATATACATGGAAAAACCCATAGGAATGCTAATGCTAATATCGCCGATTACATTATTACAAATTATGATTTAGAAACGTGCCAAATGATTACATTTGGAGTCTTATAGAAAGTAAAAATACCATCAATCAAATTAGTACAGACAGGTATTTTAGTAAAGCCAGGAGATTTTCTAATCTCAAAGGCTGCAATTTGGCAGCGAGTGGTTAGCGCAATGCTAATATACATGGAAAAACCCATAGGAATGCTAATGCTAATATCGCCGATTACATTATTGCAAATAATGAATTACAAACGTGCCAAATGATTACATTTGGAGTCTAAAAGAAAGTAAAAATACCATCAATCAAATAAATACAGACAGGTTTTTTAGTAAAGCCAGAAAACTTTTAACTCCAGAGGTTTGGCTAGCAGCTACAGTCTATGACAAGACGTCAAAAACTCTAAACACAAAATACTTAAATAAACGGGACACACTTCTTTCCTGCAAATACAATTTCACAGGTGTTGCTAATACCTATGATTCTTCAAGGGATGTGCTCAAAGAGGAGTTCAACATTATGAATAAGATATAGTGTTTTATTTTACTAATACCATTATAAACACAAACTTACGTCTTAAGAAACGTTATTTTAATAACGAAAGTGCTAAATTCTTTCCAACAGTATAGAGGTGTAGTATATTTTGTCCGAGTCGGTTTGCCGTACTTTGACGTCATCGGCAGTCGAAGGACCCCGAGCCGATCTTGAACCCGAGCAGATTCTGTACCGACACCGGCTCGGCAGAGGGTGAACGAGCCGAGGCGACGTCGTGCTCTGCTTAAGAAGAAGTGTTATTTTCCTGCTTCAGAAGAAGCGTCCAACGTGTTTTTACGCTTTCTCCGAGACATGTCACGTCGCTAAGTTGTTAGCGCCGCGCGCTAAGGAAACCCTGCGTTCTCTTCATAACGAAAACCTCGTTGTCGCTCAGCTGCGGCCGAAGCCATGTTTGTTCACACACAGGTGAAAACAAGCGGGGCACTAATAATAGTAATAACTAATATCATAAAGTTGCCCCACCCAAAAAAATTGAGCATATAAACATATTTAACAGTGATATAGTATTGGCCAGTGAAAGCAGAGCACAACCAAAAGAAAAAAAATGAAACCCACAAAACAAAGTGTTTTCTTTTATTTATTTAAAGATTATGACTCCCCCTCCACTAATCGTCAAATTGACACAGTCCATAAGCTGCTCCGAACTGGCAAGGCTGTTGCCGTTCCGATGCTCCCGGAGTTGGGGGCGAGCAACAGTGTGTAAGTTAATAACCACACCACTTGTTGAACAGGTACTAAAAAACATATTTTTTCCCTGGGGGCTCCGGGCTTTTCTCACAATCTTTAGTATTTTTAATCGTGTTGAGATTTGTTTTGATGCTGTAGTGCTGACTTGGTTTGTTTTGCTGTGTAGTCAGCAGAATGGCTGCCGTATGTAGAACTGCTATCATTGATTAGCACCCTTGGCCAGCAGACAAGGCGTGCTTGTTTTTGATATTTTATAATCATTACTTATTAAGATTTGTATTCAGGTGTTGATTTGTGTATGTACATAATTGTGTTTTTGTACATTGTTGGGTTTAGGTTAGGGTGGGTGAGAGTTAAGGTTGAATCACAAAAAGAAAGGAGACAACAATAAAGTTTATGCACCCGTCGAGGCTCTCTGTCCTTTTTATCATGCCAGAGGCAGCTACAGCCCATCTTATCTAACTCTGAGGAATATGCCAACAGGCTAAATTTCATTTAGGGGTTGAATATCCCTTTAAAATAACTCTGCAATAACAGAGATTACAGATAAAATGTCACAATCTGATCTGTAGAGCTGTAAGATCTCCTGTTATAAATGACAATGAGCAGGCAGAAATGGTCATTGGGAGGGGCCAGCCATGTGGGTTGTTTACATTCTAGTGAGGAAGAAGGTTAAGAGCTGTGTGTTTGAAGACGTAACTCCCAAAAAGAGAGAAGAAAATTCATTGAGGCAGGTGCTTTGTTTTAAATCAGTGGTGTCCAACCTCTGATTTGGTGGTGAGACTACCTGTTCAGCAGGTCGTGAACCTCTGCAGAAGCCCGTTAATCACCCACTGATTAAAATCAGGTGTGTTGCAGCAGAGAAACCTTAAACCCTGCTGGATGGGGGCCTTCTGTTTGCGTTGATCTTAGTAGGATTCGCTGCACATGACACAACAGTGTGAGAAGTACCACTTGCATTCAACTAAACATCTCACATGAATGGGAAAGGGGTCTTTTCTTATCTTTATCGTTTCACTGGGGTTTTGCACATATCCATGTCTCTTCATTAAGACAGCAAAAGTCAGAACTTTGTGTTTACAAAAATTTTTTTTGATTAAAAACAAAAAACAAAAAAACATTGTGTTTATTTGAATTCAGCCACTTTAATAAATTTGCTGATTTATGATTGTGTATTTAATTCAAGGTCTGGAGTTATCACGCTGCAGGAAAGTGTCACATCTGCAGATGCCCTGGGCTCGTTCCTCCTCACACTTGGCGCCAACATTGTTAGCTGTATTTTTGTCTTGTGTTTATCTGGTTTTTATGCTACAGAAATTGGTCTAACTGGTTTGAAAAACAGTCCCAAAGAGGCAGCAAACAGTAGCTTAAGGTGGTTTGTTGTTTTTCTCCAGAACAATGTTCTGTTGTGCGGGATAATGGTTTCCGAAGCATTCAGGTTTGCAGACAGAGAGCCGGAGTGCTTCTCTATCTGATTGGAAGGATCTGGGGTCGGAACAGAACAGAGGTAGGTGGAAACTGTCTTTTGAGAACATGATCACACTACAGCTTCCTGGATTAAAAAACTCAGTAAAAGGTTCAGTACTGTCACCACAGGTAGAGCTGGCATCTGGTTGGAAGACCATGATGAGGGCTGTGTGTTTTGGATTACTGTGTGAGTAACTACCCATCAAAAGGCTGCTTTGTTCAGCCAGAGTGTACGGTGTGTGTGTGTGTGTGTGTGTGTGTGTGTGTGTGTGTGTGTGAGCAGTCAGGGTTACTCTCTGGGTTTCACACTCCCCTTTGATATTCTCCATCTCCCTGAGGTTTCACTCTCAGTGTGACGCACACACACAGCAGCAGCATCACAGTGGAGGTCAGCACATGTATGTTGTGCTGGGAGATGTTTCCCAGCAAGGTTCAAATTGGACATGCGGGCAACAAGTTTTGCTCTTACACAAGTAAAAAAAAAAAAAAAACGCATGACCTTCCTGTGTGAGTTTAAGTTGGAAGTTTACACAAGGAACTTTACCTTCAGGTGCATTTAAATGCATTGTTTCCATGGGACCGATAAAGGCGTAACGCATTCCTAGCCCCTCTGACATCACCAGGTCGATGTCCTTCACTGAGATAACACCATCCTGTTGGAGTGAGACGACCCAAAAAACGTTAACTGAGCTCATTTGATTGAATTTATTTATATATTTTAGCTTCATTTGTTCAGTAATCACCCAAAACATCAGACAGTCGGTGATTTTATGACGCCACCAACACAACAGCAGGTCACATTAAAGAACAACGATGTGAGATTTCTCTGTGGAAGCTCAACACAGTTGTAATTTCTACCCTCTAATGTAACATCTACAGTCTCTTTGATCCCATCAGTTCAGTCCCACTATATTAAGTTTCCCTAATCAGTTAACTATGTGTCCTCGGGATAATGTACATGGAGGAGAGAGCAGAGGATGGAGGGATGAAAGGCAGGCCAGGCAGAGGGAGGGGTTCAGGTATCTTTGGGTTTGAGATGCCTGTTGGCCGACCACAGAGGAAACAGATACAGAGAGTGGGGTGAGCAGGAGGAAAGGCACAGGGTCGTCTTTGTTAGGCTCCAGCGTCCAACAACGAAGCTGTTATCTGAAAGAAACGGGGTGGTGGGTGAGGTCTGTTCTCCACTATAATCACTTGGGGTAACAAGGTGCTTTCTCAGCTGCTCTGCTTTCCAGTGCTGGCCGCAGCTCAAGGACCACTTTCTGAGAGTTTATTGGGTGGGGGTGGGGGGGGTTACGTAAGGACAAGGCCACTGCCAGAAACGAGCCTCAATTGTCAGGGAGGGACTTCATGTTAAACTTTGTTTACTTATTCATTAATTTATTTATTTTCATCATTTCCTGTTTGTCTGGTTTCTGTCTGGAGTTGAAGTGAGATTCATGTTTTGGGAGAAGCTGCAGGGATGAGTGTTTAATGACTTGTTTCCACACCAGTACATCTGATTGTTATAACCGTAGCCTAGAAATCTAGACAGAGCGTAGCAAGAGCAAAAGGATTTGGCTCTGCAGGTTGGTTTAGCCACGCTCCATAGGCGCCTCAGCAGGCGAGAACAATCTTGTCTTGCCGATCATCGTTTTGGAGGGCGGGATGCTGCGATAGAGCGGAACTACTAAGATGGCATCGGCTCGTTTGAAACAGCTTAGGCATCAACTCTGGACCATGCGGACTTGGGTTTTCTTTGAGTCAAAGACAGATAGAGGTTAGAAAAAGGATGTATTTGTGTCTTCTTCAACAGTGCATGGCAGACTGACCTGTTGTACAACAATCGTAGTGGTGACTACATCACATTGTTTGTTGTCCAATAGCATTTGAAAGACAACCATAGACTCTTCCCGCAACTGAGCTCTGTCTATGGGTCGTGGCCAGACTATATATCCACATGTATCGGACAGCTGGCCAGGCTGTTATAGCAGTACAGCCAGTAAAGAATGTGCAATAAACTAACCACATGGTCCATCCATGCATTGTTGAATCTGGTGTGTCTCTCGTTTAAGAGTACACAGAACATTTGTAATTTCACAAGAAAGTTTTATACAAACATAATTACACATTATGCAGCAGCATCATAATTATTGCTCACTGTCAATAAAAGTGAACACCCAGATGTTGTGACTGTATTAAAACGCGCCTATGTCACAAAAATGACACCTACAGAGAGGATGGCAAAAAGCCCTTTTCCTGTTACCGTGCAAGGTGAACTATGGGTCAGACAGAAGTAGCATTCATTTCTGCACAAAGTCTAAAAATACTAAACTAAAACCTTCATTTCACAATGTTTTAGACCGTTAAACAACTCCTGAAACTTGGATTGCTGCCATAGGACTTATGTTTGTGCTAAACATTTCCCTGACGATGAAATCGGCATCCGGATGCCAGGCGTAACACCACTGACAGGACGGGTCTTCTTCCATTGAAGAGGGAAGAACAACAATTATAGATGTCAGTTTAGCCAAGGAGGCTGGGGACGTCGCCCCACCAATTTTTATACAATCTTTCATTCACATTGTTTTAATAGAAAATGTTCTGTTTTTCTCCCATTTTTTAATCTTTTTTTTATATTTTTAATTTTATTGTTCTTGTGAAGCACCTCGTGATTTTAATTTTGAGGTGCGCTATATAAAATATTTTCTTCTTCCATATAAAACTGACAGTTTTTTACCCATCACTTTAAAAAACCCAATGCTGTGATTTTTACTGTGCTTTTGACTTAACTCATTCCCTGCCAGCCGTTTCCTGAATGGAAAAGCCCTTCGCTGCCAGCGTTTCTCGCCGTTTTTACAGTTTTTTAAGAGTCACAGAACGTTGCTTGCTAGGATGACGTCGACGCCAAAACAACCAAAACAAAGTGGAGACTCATCTTACATGGGGAATAATCTGCGTGTTTCGAGCGTTATCCGTTCTTTCATAATCCATTGTCGAATTGTGATCGGCAGATGCTTTTCCGGTTTGTGCCTCACTTTTTTTTTACAGGAACGGCCCAAAACAATCTCCTAACACATGGATTTTCTGCTTCCTGATTATGTGACGTGTGACGTATGCGGATGAAGATCGGCTTCAGAGCTGAGATGTTTGTTCTCATGGTGCGGGGGCTCGTTCCGATGACCACCAGGGTATCTGCAGATTTAAGGGAGCCAAATTTAAGACTTTTTAAGACCTATTTTAAGGCCACTTTGACCAAATTTAAGCTATTTTAAAAATTAAATTTAAGCGATAATTTCCAGGTATTGCCTGGAACCGGTGCTAACCACGTCGCGAACGTGGGATTAGCCATCCAGTTACCATTAAACTTGCACTTCCCCATGGCGCAAGCTCCCACTAGCTTAACCAGCTAATGTGTTTATCTAGAAAAATAGCCCCCTTTCACAACCAACTGACTGCGTACGGTTCCGCTTACTCCAACGTCATACACAAAAAATGCTGAACACTAACTAGAAATTCACGAAGTTTTTATAGAAATAAAAGAATCTTGTTTATTGGGTCGTTGGTAATTTAAGACCTCTGGAAACTGGATTTAAGGATTATTTGTCATTTTTAAGGACTTTTAAGGCCTTAAATTAGGAAAAGCTAATTTAAGACTTGTTAAGACTTTTTAAGGACCTGCGGATACCCTGGACCACACAGTAAAAAAAAAATGCAAATGACGACTTTAGTCGTCAATGGCAGTGAATGATTTCGGAACTGCGCTGCTCTGGGTGGCTGCATGTTGGAGTAGCTCTGTTGACTATATGTAAGTTTTGCCTTTTCTTGGACATTTTTTCTTCTAGTTTCTCAAGAAAAAGAGTATTTTTTTTACATTTTACTTTTCTGTTTCTGGTGCTGTGAAGCTTGGAGGACTTTTACTGCTATTTTTTCACTTTTTGAGCATTTGTTATGGTGCGTAACCATGGCAACAAGCTGGTTTAGAATAGAAGAATAGAATAGAATAGACTTCATTGTAATTGCTCATGGCAATTAAATTACAGATGGTCCGCCATCAACAGTGCACAAGACAATAAATAATAATAAATGTCAAAACCATAGAGGACTAAAAACAATTTAAAAACATTTAGCAAACAACAAGAAAGTGCAACCAGTGATTCAGATCTGCTAAAACAACAATTTAAAAGGATTTAAAACAGATTAGTCCACATTACTGATGGGGATGTGGGGGGTTGAATGATGCTGTTGTGTTGAATATTCTGATGGCCCAAGGGAAGAAGCTGTTGGAAAGTCTGGTGGTATGTGATAGGTTAACTACCTGACCTGAAGTGGTGCCCTGAGGGCAATAGGTCAAACAGGCAGTGGGCAGGGTGGGTGGGGTCACGGAGGATAGCAGCGGTTCTCTTCAGGCAGCGGGTTCTAGAGATGGCCTCAAGGATGGCAGGGTGCAGCCAATAATCCTCTGGGCAGTGTTTATTGTCCTCTGAACAGCCTTCCTGTCCTCAGCAGTGGAGCCTGCATACCACACACTCAGGGAGTAGGTGAAGGTGCTCTCCACGGAGCAGTGGTAGAAAGCCAGCAGCAGTTTCTGATCCAGGCCACACCTTCTCAAGACCCGGAGAAAGTGCAGCCGCTGCTGAGCCTTTTTAACCAGAGCTCTGGTGTTGGCAGACCAGGACAGGTCAGCAGAGATGATGGTGCCAAGGAACCTGATGGAGGGGACACGGTCCACACGCCCTCCATTTATGAGGACAGGGGCGTGTGTGTGACTGTGTCTCCTGAAATCCAGAATGAGCTCTTTTGTTTTTTGTATATTCAGAGTGAGGTTGTTGTCTAAGCACCACCTTGACAGATTACTGACCTCTGCCCGGTACGCTGCCTCATCTCCGTCTGTGATGAGGCCGACCACAGTGGTGTCATCAGCAAACTTAAAGATGCCTGTGGATGGGTGGGATGCGGTACAGTCCGATGTGGACAGAGTGTACAGTAGGGGGCTCAGCACACAGCCCTGAGGAGAGCCAGTACTGAGCAGGATGGAGGAGGAGAGATGGGAGCCAAGTTTAACATGCTGTGGTCATTTTGTGAGAAAGTCTTTTATCCAGTGGTAGGTGGAGGGAGGGATCTGAAGGCTCAGCAGTTTTATGAGAAGAATGTCTGGGATGATGGTATTGAAAGCTGAACTGAAGTCAACACAGAGCATCCTGACGTAGCTTCCTCTGGTCTCTAGGTGGCTCAGTGTTGTGTGCAGCATCAGGGCGATGGCATCCTCTGTTGATCTGTTTGCCCGGTAGGCAAACTGAAGGGGGTCGAAGGAGGTGGGGAGACAGGCTTGGATGTGGTTGGTGATAAGTCGCTCCAGATACTTTGTGATTACATGTGTGAGGGCAACTGGTCGATAGTCGTTTAACTCATTCACTGCCATTGACGACTAAAGTCGTCATTTTAGATCCAACCGTTGACTGCCGATGACGACTAAAGTCGTCATTTGCATTTTTTTACTGTTTGAGCATCGGAACGAGCCCCCGCGCTGAGAGAACAAACATCTCAGCCCTGAAGCCGATCTTCATCCGCATACGTCACAGATCACATGATCAGGAAGCAACACATCCATGTGTTTGGAGATCGTTTTGGGCCGTTCCTGTAAAAAAAGTGAGGCGCGAACCGGAAAAGCGTCTGCCGATCACAATTCGACAACGGATTACGAAAGAACGGATAACGCTCGAAACACACGGCTTCTTCCTGATGTAAGAGGTGAGTCTCCGCTTTGTTTTGGCTGTTTTGGCATCGACATCATGCTAGCGCGCAACGTTCTGTGACTCTTAAAAAAACAGTAAAAACGATGAGAAACGCTGGCAGCGAAGGCCGTTAGTGATCAGGAAACAGCTGGCGGTGAATGAGTTAAGCTGTCTATGGAAGATTTTTTTGGGGATGGGAATAATTGTTGCAGACTTGAGGCAGCTTGGGACTGAAGCATGAGACAGGGAGAGGTTAAACAACTTGGTGAGGATACCAGCCAGCTCACTGGCACACTCCTTGACCACGATCCCTGGTATGCCGTCTGGTCCGGCAGCTTTCCTGGGGTTTACTGCTCTCAAGGTTCTTCTCACCTCATGTTCCTGTAAGTTGTCGCCCATATTATTTGCCAAGAGTTCACCAGTGTTGTCTTGGCAACCGTTTATATTCCACCTTCAGCCATTGCTGAAAATGCATGTGATGCCATCAGTTCCATTGTCGCTAAGCTACAAACCCAGCACCCCAATGCATTTGTGACTATATCTGGTGATTTTAATCATGCCTCACTCTCAGCTACACTTCCAACATTTCAACAGTTTGTCAGCTGCTCCACCAGAGAAAACAAGACATTGGATTTGTGTTATGCAAATGTAAAGAATGCATACATGTCCAAAACAAGACCTCCTCTGGGACAATTAGATCACAATCTTGTTTTTCTCTGCTCAGAATACAAACGATTTACCGGTCGATCTACGTCCCAATCCTCACCTATGGTCATGAGCTTTGGGTAATGACCGAAAGAACGAGATCGCGGATACAAGCGGCCGAAATGAGTTTCCTCCGTAGGGTAGCCGGGCTCAGCCTTAGAGATAGGGTGAGGAGCTCGGACATTCGGGAGGGACTCGGAGTAGAACCGCTGCTCCTCCGGATCGAAAGGAGCCAGTTGAGGTGGTTTGGGCATCTGGTCAGGATGCCTCCTGGACGCCTCCCCGGGGAGGTGTTTCGAGCATGTCCTGCCGGCAGGAGGCCCCCGGGTCGACCCAGGACACGTTGGAGAGGTTACAACTCCAATCTGGTCTGGGAATGCCTTGGGGTCCTGCCGGAGGAGCTGGTGGAGGTGGCCAGGGAGAGGACAGTCTGGAGCTCCCTAGTTGGGATGCTGCCCCCGCTACCCGGACCCGGATAAGCGGAGGAAGATGAGACGACGACGATTAACGTGTGGGTAAATTACTGTAAATAAGACTTATGAAAGCTAAGCTCATCTCAGCTAAACATTAGGTAGACATCCAAGGAGGAGAGTGAATACCAACAGGTGAATCTTGCAGGGCAGCTACGCCCATATTAGGCTGTGATGAGGATCTACATAAGTATAACCTTATAATAAAAGTGACTAATCACTAAAGGAGAGAAATGGTTATCCAAGTACCATAAATCCTCTAATACAGGCCCGGGTCTGTATTTGACTCAAGCTCATCAAGCTCCAGGCCTTTATTGGAAGGAGGACCAGAATTAGAGGCAGGCCTCAATTTCTATTTGAGCAAAATGAACTAATTGTTCGCTGGAGTTTTTGACAATTAAAATTGCGCCCACATTTTCAAAGTTAAACACATTTCTTTTAACAACGGTAGTTTCTGCTTCAGCCCTCTCCCCCTCCCCCTGCGCAGCGGCCGCAAACTCACTGATGCACCTGCAGCCTCTCAGAGTTCCTGCTGCTCTAAACAACCACCAGGTACAAAAACTAACTTGTTTTTATCTGACTATTTTTCTGTCCTGCCTGTTTATTATCTTCCTGCATCTCCTCTCAATCCTAAAGAAAAACTGCTACCTGGGTTCATATATATTCACCTTATGAGTTACCTTTGAACTGCAGTTCTAAAAGATCTACCGACCGCAAAAACAGCGGAGTGCGCGCTGCTTGCCGGCCACGGAAGGCAGCGCGCTGTGCCAGAGCGTCGGTACTGACGCCCGCCGTAAAACGGACATTTAACCAAATTGTGACCTTTACCCTCTTGCAATTTAACATTCCCCTCACCCCCATCCTAACCTTAACCAGCTTGCGCATGCAACACTCTGATTGTTGACGCGCTCCAGACATCTGCGTCCTGAGCACGGCCACAGTAACGTTATCAAATTAGGTGTCGCCACCTCAAAAACTAATTTAACACGCGATCGTTCATGTCGGCTCATTTCCTTTTATGTTTTTATTCTTTTATTTGTGCCTGATGCGTTTCGCTGCTGTGGATCGGGGCACATCACCTGTCACCTGCTGACAGCAGGCTGCTGTCTTTTCCGTGGACTGCATCTTGCCGGTCATTATCATGTGACAGCGACTAGTCGATGACAGGCATAACAAGTCACTATAGAGCGGTGAAGTCGACTAGTGACTAGTTCATACAACCCCTGCTACTGCTCCCCAGAGTGTTCTGCAGCATAATCAGCACGTTCTCTTTGAACTTGATATCAAATTTTCGCCTCCTCTTCGTCTCCGCACCTGCCATGGTTAAAGTTACCCTCGCGGTCTATCACTGGCAAATCAAAAGTGAGACGGAAGACACAACCGCCCCCCGTACTTGCTTGTTACCACATTCCACCCGGCCACAATAAAAAACCGGCCATTATTCACTTCCGCCAACTCCGACACCGGCCAAAATATGATACCCGGCAGTTAGTTAAATACAGGCTAATATTAGAGGATTTACGGTAAGCTGTTACCAAACATTTGGAGAAAACACGTTAATTTCACATCATAATTAAACTGCGACCACCATCTGATGTGCATATGATTGAAGAGGAAATGGATTTGTGTTGTTCAGGCTGTCATAAAAAAATCTGATTCTGACCTGGACCAGCCTCCAGGACTCTGCAATGATGGCAACCTGGACTCTGTTGAGAGCGAAGCCATCGATCTCTTTTCTCAGACGGATGGGCACCTGACCAACCTGAACCAAGACGAAACAGAAGTCTAGCAGTGCAATCGCTCCAGAAATAAGAAAACACACTGAAACATGGTGAGAATGACAGAAAAGCAGTAGTAGGACAGACTTGTATCAATCACAGCTAACATTGAGATTACCTCTTATAGGGCAGCAGTAGCTCAGGAGGTTACAAAAGTTAAAAGTTGAGGTCCCATCAGTTGTCACACACACATCAGTGTGTGTGACATTGGTTGTCCACATTTGACCTACCCCCCTGGGGGAGCGGTGAGCTGCAGGCACGGCCGCGATCGGGAACCATTTGGTGGTTTAACCCCCCCAATCCAACCCCTTAATGCTGAATGTCAAGCAGGGAGGCATTGGGTTCCATTTTTTTTTTTCAAAGTCTTTGGTGTGACCCGACCAGGAATTTAACCCTGAACTCCCAGTCTCTGGGCGGACACTCTACCACTAGGCCACTGAGCTGATAGAGGTAGAGTGGGTTGTCCCGTAATCGGAGGGTTGTAGGATCAATCCTGGCTCCCGACAGAGAATTCTGTTCTTGTGTTCTTGGGCAAGACACTAAACCCACCTTGCCTGTTGGTAGAGGTTGGAGGGACCGGTGACGCCAGAGCTCAGCAGGTACGCCTCTGTCAGTGCGCCCCAGGGCAGCTGTGGCTACATTGTAGCTCATCACCACCAGGGTGTGAATGTGTGTGTGCATGAGTGAATGACTGAATGTGTTGAAAAGCGCCTTGGGGGGTTCCAGGACTCTAGAAGGTGCTATATCAAATACAGGCCATGTACCATGGATGTCATCACACATTCACAGGTAGTCTGGTTTTGTTCCTCTTCATTTCTTCCCTCGACCTGCTGCTCCGAGTCAGATTCACAAACAACACCAAACATGCTCATGAAGTTCAGCAGGATTAAGCCATTTGCTCTTGTTCAGCGTCTGAGTGCCATCTAAAGATAAACTTCTGTCACAAACCCAAAGGTTGTCTTGTAGTGGCCTTCCTTTCAGATAAAAGGGGAAAAGGGACAGTTCAGACTGATCTTAAGGCACAAAAATAAATTAAAATACACTCCTGAGTGGAGTTTGTTCTTGAATGAGAAGCATAAAGGTTTCCCTTTCGTCTAGCAGGACTTTACAACCATCCATCAAACTCAGAGTTTTCATCACTCACTCTGATATCAATAACTGCCAAACTGTTTCTTACGGGGTCTTTACCTTCATCATCAGAGTGTAGGTGGTTTCCATAACAGATGCTGCGGTCTCTGGGTGAGGTACCAGCTCGACCAGTTTCACATAGTAGGGTGGGTTAACCTGGAGCAATTGGGACAGTTATTATTTGTAACCCTGATACACTTGTGAGGATCTGGTCTGGTTTAAGCTCAACACGTTTAAACCAGAATTATATTTATTTATAGTTCAGATTCTGGTATTTTTTAATATTTAAACATCAGCAAACTCAACAATAATTGTTTAAACTCTTAAAATGTTTTTTTTTCTTATATAAAAACTATTAGTTTTTTCCGCTTGCTTAAACACTACAGCCACCTTTTGAACTCAAATTCCAAAACCATAATGCCATTTTTCAAAACGCACACCCATTTCCCTGACCATACACATTATTCCCCTGCTTTAACACGAGTCAGATTTGGTGAACTGTTCCTACAAAACTCTAAACACAAATCCCTACATGTTTCAGTGCTGACACCATGTGGTCATTTGGAAAGCACTAGTAATGTTAACTGAAGTCAGCACAACTTGAGCTCAATTAGCACACAATTAACCAACTGGAAACGCTAGATGTCACAGTTTAACACACACCAATCAGAAACTCTGATGGATAGATAAAAGGGCCAAAGTCAGCACATGCAGGCTTGAAACAATGGATCCAAAGAGATGCAAAGGAAACTGAGGAGAAGGAGGTCTAGAACACCAAGTCCTTGTCTATGGTATGACTATGAGGGAGGCGGGGCAACGAGTCCATTCCAATGTGAGTCGCTTCACTCTGGTTCAAGACTGGTTTACCAATAACCCAAGGTTTTCAAACATCTTTCTGTCTGCATACTCTCCCTTTCTAAACCATATAGAAGTGTTTTTTCCGTACGGCGGTGAAAAGTGTACGACAGAGAGAACCTCATGTCTGTGTTCACCTCCTCCAGGCCGCGAATGAAGCCTGCCTAGACATCTCAGTTCATGCATGCCAGGGGTGGATCAGGCAAGCAAGAGGATCCCCCCCCCCCCCCCCCCCACTGCCCAGCTAGGGCTGATGTAGCCTGTGATGTGGGTGAGATTCTCTGGCCTGGCCCAGACCAAAGACTGGAGGCTGAGGTGGAATAATGTTTGTGGTGTGTGTTGAACTGTATGAATGAAAATGTGCAACTGTATATATATTGGTTGCCTCTTTTGTGTTCATCATGTGAAAAGGATTTTGTGGCGGAGAACCACAAACAACATAGCTTGGCAGTTTATCAAATATTGTTTAGAATTTATTCCACCAATTGGTAAGACGTGTGTGTGTGTGTGTGTGTGTGTGTGTGTGTGTGTGTGTGTGTGTGTGTGTGTGTGTGTGTTTGGTTTTTCAGCAAGAGTGAACGGTTTGAGTGTAGAGCTTCATTTTGACCAGAAAACACGATGTTTGGGAAATTGGGTGAGGTGTTATGGATTTGTGTTTACTATTATGAGAATATGAGGCATAGATTCAAGAAATGTGTTTAAGCATTGAAGAAAAACTGTAATTAGGGTTTCTGACTGGGTTAGGTGAGTTTGCTAAATGTCTCCAAATGACTGCAGAGTTTCCTTTTGAAGGCCACAAGGCCTCATTCTCCTGTTGCTGGGACTTTGAACATGTTCAAACAATGCTCAATCAATAGTCACTGATTCAGAGTGACTCCAACTCAGAATATGCAATTGTCTGAGCCCAGTGAGAAGATCCTAACCTCTCTCTTCTAGGGTTATGGTTTAAGATCTCAGTGTTGAGAAGAGCCAGTAGAAGCAGAGATCCTGTTAACATGATGGAGCAATCATAAACTCCTCTCTTAGAGAATGTGGTCGAGCTAACCGGATGGGAAACGAGGCAGCGACTTCTGCTCTGAACCTTGGAGAAGACACTGCTTGGCACCAGGCAGGAAGTGGAGCTGCTCAGGACAACGTCTGGACTCACAAGACGCTCTATGTCCTGGAAGACTTGCTGCTTGACTTCCAGCTGCTCAAATACACTCTCCTGGAACAGAAAGAAAAATCTACATTCTCTAATGACAGAATGAAGTCAAAATATTTTTTCTCATATGTTCATTATTAAAAACTTTATCCCAAAATAGTTTGTTTCTGTGATTCATGTCGGAAAGTTGCAGTAAACCTTTATTTTTATTTTGTTTTGATTCATTTAAATCTAGAACAGACGTCAGTGATGATATACTGCCCCCTTGAGTTTAATCTGTGTAACAAACCTGCTGCACGGAGTGATGCAAAGATTTAGTTAGCGTCATAAAGATGAAGCATCCTGTTTGTGTCACCTGGACAAAGAAGGATCCCTCCAGGGCCTGGGACAGGTCGTCATGGCTGCTGAGCAGATCCAGCTGCTGTCTGGAGGTCAGCTCTCCTCTCAGCATCTTACACTTCTCAAGCTCCTCCATCTGCTTCCTGTAATACACACACACACACACGCACGCACGCACGCACGCACGCACGCACACACACACACACACACACACACACACACACACACACACACACACACACACACACACACACACACACACACACCTAAAGCTCTGTCAGTCCACAAGTGCATCACCACCAGGAAATGAATGTGTGTGCATGGGTGAACAACTGATTGTGTTGTAAAGCACCTTGGGGGGTTCTAGGACTCTAGAAGGCACTACATCTAATACAGATCATTTACCATTTCACTGGTTGGCCCGAAAAGATCTCGTTCCAGGTCACTTCAGGAACCAACGGAGAACCAGAATTGGGGTATGTTCTCAGAAATAGCCCAGTAGAGTTGCTGAGCGGGAGTTGTGCTTAACTTGTGCTGATTCGTTGTAACTCAGTAGGAAATGACATCGGCAGACGCCATCAGACAACTGGAAATTGTGAAGTTGGAAGAGCTGCTGGTGAAGCAGGGTGGAAGGAAACCAAAAAGTAGTGTGCACCCGCTTTTAAAATCACAGTTTCTAAACTTCCAACGGCATAATTCACGATGCTTTGTTGTCTCAACGCTTCTGGTTGTGGAATGCTGCATTTCTCATCACACTGCTGCTCTCCCGATCCTCAGAATAGATTAAATGCGTTTGACACGACACCACTTCTAACTTATAATGTGGATGCCTTTGGCGCTGCTCAGTGATATCACTCACTGTCAAAACAGTTGCAACATAAATGTCACACCCCTCCTCCACTCCAGCATAGCTGCAGCCACCACCCCTCACCTGGAAACTCTTACTCCTCTTTCCTCTAATTCACAAGCTACGTTCCTTGTGAAGGAAGAGGATGTCTGCAACATCTTTAGGAGACAGAAAGTACGGAAGGCACCAGGCCCAGATGGCGTAACTCCTTCCTGCCTCAGGACCTGTGCTATCCAACTAGCACCTGTCTTCACAACGATATTCAACAGATCGCTGGAGCTGTGTGAGGTTCCATCATGCTTCAAAAGCTCCACTATCATCCCAGTACCGAAGAAATCCTCCCCTACCGAACTGAATGACTACAGACCCGTGGCTTTGACATCAGTAGTCATGAAGTCCTTTGAGCGCTTGGTGCTGTCCCATCTTAAAAGCACCACAGGCCACCAGCTGGATCCCCTGCAGTTTGCCTATAGGGCAAACAGGTCAGTGGATGATGCAATTAACATGGGGCTGCACTTCATCCTGGAACATCTTGATCAACCAAGGACCTACGCAAGGATATTGTTTGTGGATTTTAGCTCTGCTTTTAACACCGTTATACCAGAAATCCTCACCACAAAGCTTTCTCAGCTCACTGTTTCCTCTGCTATGTGTCAGTGGATTTCCAGCTTCCTGACAAATAGGAGCCAGCATGTGCGGTTGAACAATGTTACGTCTGGCACAAGGCTGATCAGCACCGGTACACCACAGGGGTGTGTCCTTTCTCCACTGCTCTTTTCATTGTACACCAATGACTGCACCTCTAAGGACACAGCTGTTAAAATCCTGAAATTTGCAGATGACACCACTGTCAATGGGCTCATCCGGGATGGTGAGGAGTCTGCTTATCAGCGAGAAGTTGAGAGGCTGGTGGTCTGGTGTAGTCAGCACAGTCTTGAGCTTAACACCCTTAAGACTGTGGAGATGGTCGTGGATTTTAGGAAGCTTCCCACAGTGCTGCCCCCCCTCACAATATCCAACAGCCCAGTGTCAATGGTGGACTCATTCAAGTTCTTGGGAACTATCATTTCCAGGGATCTGAAGTGGGAAACAAACATCAACTCCATCCTCAAAAAGGCTCAGCAGAGGATGTATTTCTTATGGCAACTAAGGAAGTATGGCCTACCATAAGAGCTGCTGATCATCTTCTACACTGCTGCAGTCAAATCCATACTTTGCTCATTCATCACTGTCTGGTTTGGGTCAGCCACAAAAATGGACATATCATTGGTGCCCAAATGCCCTCGGCCCAGGAATTGTACATCAGCAGGACCAGGAAAAAGGCAGTTAATATTGTCCAAGATGCCACACATCCTGCATCTACTCTCTTCCATCTCCTCCCATCTGGCAGACGCTATAGATCACTGTACACAAAAACTACCAGACACAAGAACAGTTTCTTTCCTTCAGCCATTTCTCTCCTGAATCTGTAGATTCTTTTACCATCCTTTTACTATAGTTTTTAATACTTATTCAGTATGCTTATGGATATGAGTGTGTGTGTGTGTGTATACATATGTATATGTGTGTGCATATATGTATATGTTTGTGTGTGTGTGTGTGTGTGTGTGTGTGTGTGTGTGTGTGTGTGTGTGTGTGTGTGTGTGTAAATGTACATGTGTGCGGGTATACATGTTCTTATGTGTTTTTTATGTATTTTATTCTCATTTATTGAAGTTGTTGTATGTTTTAGAGAGCGAACATCGACCGACGCTAAATTCCTTGTAAATGTAATTTTACTTGGCCTATAAATCTGAAATCTGAATCTGAAATCTGAATATGATGACGTTAAAGCAACGTCCTGACATCTGAGAGGACTGAGACCGCTCATCTCCCCGTCACTTTTCACTTTGTATACTTATGGGTATTTTTAGGAAGAAGTAATACATGAATAAAAGATAAACAAATAATTGAATTGAATTGTACTACAAAAAAACACATGGTTTATTTTTCCTCAAAATAATCAATGTATGCTTATACTCACCCTGATTAGTGTGCAATACAAATGACATAATTTAGTAGAATCAGATATTCTGTTTAAATTGGTTTGTAGTTATGAAGTTATAAATAACACATTTAGATGGTAACCATGTTGGAGACTGATAACAGATGAATGAAGAAGCAGCTGGAGGTCTGTCTGAATTTATGAGTGATGAGACTCACCTGATCTCAGTGAGGGCAACAGCAGCCTGTCCTGGCTGGTTATCATAGAGCTTTACTCTGTAGCCTCCACTAATAAACACCATAGCCCAGGAGCGGCCGATCAGCCCACTGCAGCACAGAAAGCATAGTTTTAACTCATGTCTGCTTGCATAGCAGCAGGGGGCAGAAATGATGCAAAGCTCTTGTGTTTTCTTTCGGGTTAAGTTCGGTCACTTAGGGCAAATTCAGCTGAGTGCACAGAAAAACACGAGCAGTGTGCAAGAAACGGGTTAAAGAGTAAAACATCTGCCATGCTTCACTGTGGAATGTTCTACCCTTATGTCGATGGTTCTACCTCGTTAAATTAGGATGGTATTATCTGAAGGATAGATAAATACGAAAACAGGTTGTATCAAACAGAAAAGTGTCGTTGGCCATCAGGTTAAAGTTTTTAACACCGGAAACGTCTTTTTTCTCGCTTACCTGCCGATCACAGTGATGCTGCTGGACTCACAAGAGCTCATCCTATGTTTAATGATGAATAGAGATGCAGATCAGACGCAAGTATCGGTGTTTCTGTAAGAACTCCTACACTCCTGCACAAGAGTCAGTCAAACAGTAAAAGGGCGGTACGGAATCCCCGGAAGGACAAACTGCAAACTTCTCGCTCTGAAAAACAAACCCTGAAAAATAATGATTAAAATGAATAAAAACAATGATATCCACTAGCTTCACCGGTGTCCACTTATTTTAAGTAAACTGCGATAAAACGTTTTTATTTAAATAATGTAAACACATGAAACCTTTTACATGTTCAGATATTTATAGGTCGATGGTTCAGATCTACGCAGATTTACTCATCGTTATCCACATCTCAATATTTTATTTACTTTATTACTGAGGAGGAAAACAAGACACAACAAAATTGTTTTTGAACTTTGGAATCTAGTGGAGTCCAGTGACTGACAAGAGAAGTGGAGTCAGTCAAGTGACTGCTCCGGTGCATTCTGGGATTGATAGTTCTCGTAGACTAAAACACTTCTAAAATCTCCCTGACTGGTGAAATAGTATAACAGACTGGAAGTGTGCTTCTTGTGTCAGCTTAAAATAATTTGTTTAACTCATTTTAACTTAGTCTGAGTTTACTTTTTAATTAACTGACCCTTGTTTCGTCCTGACAAACAGAAAGCTATTAATCCCAATATTAACAGATATAAACCCTCCACACACTTTGCCCTTCAGAAGCCATCAGCAAAAATAAACATGACCCATCTGCTGAATACGGAGATGTGCTGAATATGGAGATGTACAACCCTGAGAGGTGGCCAGAGGGAGCCTATATACAGAGATTCTTTGAACCACGTAAGAGTGGGACTCCTGGGTCACCACACAGTGCTGTCCCTGTTGGTCTGTTGAATGAGTCCCAGGCAGCTCAGGATACAGGTGTGCTGGTGATCTCAAATCAGGATGTTGTGGATCGGTGAGTGGAGTACTCCAAAGACCTCCTCAATTCCACCGGCACTTCTTCCAGTGAGGAAGCAGAGTCTGGAGACTTTGGTTTGGGCTCTCCAATCTCTGGTGCCGAGGTCACTGAGGTGGTCAAAAAGCTACTCGGTGGCAAGGCTCTGGGGGTGGGTGAGATCCTAAAGGCTCTGGATGCTGTAGGGCTGTGTTGACTGATGGAAATCGGGGGCAGTTCCACTGGTTTGGCAGACCGGGGTGGTGGTGCCCCTATTTAAATAGGGGGACCGCGGGGTGTGTTCCAACTACAGGGGGCTCACACTCCTGATCCTCCCTGGTAACGTCTATTCAGAGGTCTTGGAGAGGAGGGGCCGTTGGATGGTCGAACCTCAGATTCAAGACGAGAAATTTGGTTTTCGTCCTGCAGTTGAACACATGACCAGCTCTATACACTTAGAGGGTCCTGAGGAAGTGTGGGAGCTCGCCCAACCATCTACATGTGTTTTGTGGGTTTGGAGAAGGCGTTCGACCATGTCCCTTGGGAGGCCCTGTGGGTGGTACTTCGGGGGTATGGGGTATCAGGCCCTCTGATACGGGCTGTTAGGTCACTGACCGGTCTCAGAACTTGGTCCGCATTGCCGGCAGTAAGTCGGGCTCGTTCCTGGTGAGAGATGGACTCCGCCAAAGCTGCCCTTTGTCATCGATTCTGTTCATAACTTTTATGGACGGGATTTCTAGGCACAGCCAAGGTGGTGAGGGCATCCATTCTGGTGGCCTAAGGATTGTTTCTCTGCTTTTTGCCGATGATGTGGTCTTGTTGGTTTCATCAGAACGTGATCTCTAGAGCGGTTCGCAGCCAAGTGTGAAACACCTGGGATGAGAATCAGCTCCTTTAAAACCGACACAATGGTCTTGAGTCAGAAATGGGTAGAATTTCTTTTCCAGGTCCCAGATGCGGTCCTGCTCCTAGAGGAGGAGTTTAGGTGTCTAGGGGTCTTGTTCAGAAGTGAGGGAAAGATGGAACTGAAGTTCGACAGGTTGGTGCTGCATCTGCAGTGATGCGGGTATTGCCTTGGTGAAGAGAAAGCTGAGCCATAAGGCAAAGCTCTCAATTTTTTGGTCAATCTGTGTCCCAACCCTCACTTATGGTCACGAGTTTTGGGTAGAGGCAGAAAGAACAAGATCATGAATGCAAGCAGCCTAAATGAACTTTCTCCGCAGGGCTGGGCTCTCTCTAGAGATAAGGTGAAAAGCTTGGTCATCTGTGAGAGGCTCTGAATAGATCTGCTGCTCCTCCACATCGAGAGGAGCCAGTCAAGGTGCCTTGGGCATCTAATTAGGATGCCTCCTGGATCCCTGCCTGGTGAGGTTTTCTGGGCACGTCCAACTAAAGGAAGACCCAGGACACGTTGGAGGGACTATGTCTCTCGGCTGGCCAGGGAATGCCTTGGGATTCCTCTGGAGGAGCTGGCCCAAGTGACTGGGGAGAGGGAAGCCTGGGCCTGCCTGCTTAGGCTACAGCTCCCACAACCCAACCTCGGATAAGCAGCCAAAAATCGATGGATGGATGAGTTAGAATAATAATTGTAAATCAATGTGTTTTAGTACGTTAACTCAGAGGTGTTTCCAGCCATAATTATGAAAGTAAGGAGAAAGTCTTAAAGAGACCATGTGTAGTTTTTACCATTAATCTCTGGAAATATCCTTTGAAATGTTGTTGAAAAGGAATAAAATGATGTCCAGTTGTTGAAAAATATTGGCGGCTTCATAACATATCACCATAAAAATTTGGTCTAAAGTACATAGGGTGCGGGGCTAGCGTCTTTGGGGGATTCCATGTTAGATGCTATGTTTCCTTCTGGCTCGGGGTTCTGCACCTGTCGATGATGTCACACTGGAATGATTGGCTGGACGTACGACTTACGAAAGTTGTGTTACCGTATTCAAAAACATTTAGGAAGTAAGAAACACAAATTTAATAACAAAACTGCTAAACTTTTTTCAAAACATAAGTTCTGTATTGTTGTAGTATGATGACATCATCAGCAGACGCAGGACCCTGAGTAGATCCGGAAAGAAAACTACAATCGGCATTACAGTCTCTCATGGAATTAACTGAAGGACCAACAAAGTCTGAGGATTCTGAGGTTGCATGCTTTCTGCTCTACAGGTAACAACATTTACTGTAATGCTTTGTTAAACTAGCGACAGTCATGGCGATATGGTATAAAGCTACCCTGACATGTATGCAGTTCCTGCTAGTGTCAGGGATCTACATACTGCCACCTTAAAGGTGCAATAAATTCTTTCCAACTCTAGACGGTGCCACTGAAAAAGAAATTCAGATTTCTGCTTTAATGGTCCTCCACCTTAAGTTTCAGACTACATATCTTTGTGTTTAATCAAAAGGAAGCTTCCTGGCTCATTACCATGAGCTGTTGCAGTTTAGAAGTGTGAACATAAAAATATAACCTTGCAGTATATCCACACAGCAGGGCTCTAGGATCTTTAGAAAACAGCCAACTGGTAGAAACCTGGGTCAGAACCAAACAGGGTGAAGCTGCTTTTAGCTACCATGCTGCACACAGGTGGAATCAGCTTCCTCATTACTTCAAATGTGTTTAAAATGAAAATTGAAAACTTTCATTTATTCATCGGAACTTTGAATCATATTTATGCTGCAACTTCTGCACTATAGCTGCTCAGTCTTTAACTTTGCCTTTTGATAGATAGATAGATACCAAAATTTATTAGAAATATTTTCGAGTGTTTTAAATCCCAACCATAGAGACAAAAGTGAAAGAGAAAGGGGGAGAGAGATGGAAGAGGTGGGGAGGGGGGACTCACAAAAACAAACAGTAAATGATGCACAAGAATCTTCCTCCAGACCTGCAGAGAGAAAAAAAAGGGGACACACAAAAACACAAGACCAAAACATCACTGTGCCAACAACATGAGGATACACAAAAGTAACTGTTTTTGCTGAAAAACACACGATAATATTTCACAGTGCATTTAGTGCGAACCACGGCCTTAGGTGATGTGTTAAAAATGCCCAGGTCCATACTTAGAGCACCATGTGAGCACCTGTGTGTGTACACGCGCTTGTATATGTAAGGTTTCTCTATAGGAGCGTCCAATGGTGAGTGTGAGGGGCCACAGACCTGACGATGTGTGGAAGATGGAGGAGTTCCAAGCCCTAGAGATTCAAGGGTCTCCCCTGAGCGCTGGAACCCCAGGGAGACAGAGCAGGCATCGTATGGCCTAAACCAGCTGACGCCACCACACATATCACATCACATTTCACTTTGACAGGTCTTCACAAACTCTACACCAGAATTCCTGAACAGATGAACAAGACCACAGTTCGTGGATATAATTGTCAGGAATGTTGTCTGTGCAGTATTTACAGGTGTCAGACGGCCCAAACCCCATCCTGAACATCTGAGGACCTGTTTAATGTACCCTGTGCAGAAATGTGCATGGAATAAATAGCAAATTGGGGTTCCTGGTCATTTTAAAAGATTTTAAACAACTTTGAGACTAGAAATTCTGGTCAAAGCTAACTGATCCACCTACCGTTTGTCGAAATGATTTGCTCTTGAATCGTCTATTTTGAACAGTGTCTTATGTGTATTGGTGAAATTCTGGTGATACGATGCATATCACAATACAGGGTAGACGATACAATGTATCACAATTTATTGCGATGCATTCAGTCAGATCATATTAGCAATTGTTATTGACTAGATTTATATTAGGAATATTCAATAAATAGTCCAAACTGGTCCAAACTGATACATAACATGTTTAACACAAGGTATCTGAACCATGATAGAGGGATTTACATTTCAATGGTGAAAACAAAACCCATTGCACACTGCTGCCAGTTAGCGGTCGGCATTTGAATTGCACCAAAAAAAAAGAAAATACACAAACGTTTGCATGTAAATTCTTCCAAAAATTAGATACATGGCTTTTGAATATCAATGTAATATCGCTGGAAAAAATATCACAATATATTGCCATATCGATATTTTCTTACATCCTTAGTGTTTTATATACTTTAGATAGGGAGCCTAAGTCACACTTTTTAACTTTTTGCGAGGGCTTTACAAAGATCAACATTAATAAAGGATATGGGGCAATAGCTGGTAGGCAATATGGGATCTTTGCGAGACTAATGTTGGCTGAATGCATGTTCAGCTGTAGCCTTTAATTTCTCTCATCTTTCTGAAGGATGTTGGAGGCAGAATAATCCAGAAGGCTTTATGCTCTTAAAAACACATTGAATTGTGTTTTTGTATGAAATGTGCAATACAAATGAAGCTGCTTTGTCAGTAAATATCTAAGATTTACAGAATCCCTGCATTCTTTCTATCAAGTGTTTGAGCCTGAACTCTACTGGAAGCTGCTTCAGGATGATGCAGTTAAGGTGTTGAGAAGAATCTTGGTGTGTAGGTCTGCAGTGTCAGACAAAGAAACCACGTAGTAGTTTTTCATCAACTGGGTCTTTATTTCTGTTAATGACAAATTACAAGATTAATGAAATCATTGAAGTATTCTGATAATTACAACAATTTAAATCTCTAATTTCTGTTTTAAACATCTTCAGCAACTCAACTACCTGAAACAGGAGAAAAACGTCAGCCAATACTCATTTGGTCTGATTGCATTTTATGTATTATAATTTAACATGAATAGTTGAACATAGAGCTTTGTAATATGGCTCATGTATGAAACTTGTTAATATCTAACAAAAATGTTTTCGTGTCCTATCAGTAAAAACCAAGTCCAGCTAATTTAAGCACAAAATGGCCAGAGGTGTTCTGAATGTTCCTTAGTATAAATGCAAGGATGTGGGGGTGTCAGTGTCCCCAATCACAGCAGACTGGGGAACAACCATAGTAGAGTATGTTCATCCTGCAGCTTTTAAAAAATATTTATAATCAGGGATGTCCCGATCCGATCACATGATCGGAAATCGGCCCCGATCACGTGGTTTCAGACTGATCGGGACTCGGGCTTTACTTCCCGATCCAAGCCCCGATCCGGACTTGGATACTGGGTTCAAATTACAGGAGAGCAACTTGGTTCTCCTAAAGGTTGTCAGGTACCCATGATGCACTTAACTTACACACCCAGAAGGAGCACAAAAGAGATCCAGTTTCTACCTATATTATATTATTTATGTGGACTCAGCGTAGCGGGGATTCTTTTGGGCAGAGACGCAGAGAGCGGCAGGCAGACCGCTGATTATTCATGATCTCCAGCTGCGGTCTGCACACGGCCACAGTAACATTTTCTGTTTCTAAGTGGCGTCATCAAAAATATATATTTAACACACAGTCATTCGTGTCCGTTCATTTTCTCTCTGGTAAGTTCTGTCTGGATTTGAGCATGACGTGTGGACGCGCTTGCACTGCAGCGCTCGTCACTGGCGCAGCCGGGCAGCGCGGCGCACACTCCGCTTTTTAGCGGTCAATAGATCAATTTGATCTGCTGGTTAAAAAGTTACTTGTGAGGTATACAAGATGGAAGCAGGCAGGAGTTTTTCTGGAGGACTGGGAGATGCAGGAAGATCAGGGACAGACAGGACAGGAAGACAGGAAAATAAAAACCAAGAAAACTAAACAAAGTTCTTAAATAAATAAAATGTAGGTAGACTGATCCCACTACACGTTTGTACCTGTATAAAGCAATAACTTATCAGCATGTAGTATTTATGTATTTGATACAATTTAGATCATCTTCTAAACTCCATCCCATGCCCAGGGACGTATCTAAGCATTTTGGGGGCCGAGGCAAAATAGACCCCTCCCCAGGTATTTTAAGTTGAAGTGCGATCTGTTTTTATATTAGACTTTTTATATTTGCAATTCAGTCCAAAAGTGAAGAATTTATGTTATTTATTGATTGTTTAAGCTACCTCACAGAAGTGATCTGTTGTTAAAAATTAAAATAAAAAGGTAATTAAATAAAAAATAAGGAACATTCTGGAACCGTTTCTTCCCCTTTTTTAATGTATCGACAGTATCGGATCGGACTCGGTATCGGCAGATTCTCAAAATCAAATGACTCGGAGGCAAAAAAAACCTGATCAGGACATCCCTATTTATATTATTTGGTTTCCTTTTCCAGACTAACTGGTGTTCAGGCACATTGTCTGAGAATGTTAGCTGCGTGAGTTGTGTTATTTATTTCATGAATAAATTCTTAAATGTGAATCTTCATGTGCGAAGTAAAAGATGATAACTGGCTGAATCTCTTTCCACAGATCAAACATAGAAAAGACTTCTCGTCTTTGTGAGTCGTCATGTGTTTGGTCAAGGAACCTCTCTGAGCAAAACACCTGCCGCACGTTTCACATGGATATGGCTTCTCACCTGTGTGAGTTCTCAGGTGAATTGTCAATTGACCACTTCGAGAGAAACATTTACCACAAAAATCACATGGGTAGGGCTTCTCGCCTGTGTGAGTTCTCATGTGAACAGTCAGTTTACTACTCTGGGAGAAACATTTACCACAAATTTCACATGGATACGGTTTCTCACCCGTGTGAGTTCTCATGTGATCAGTCACCTCACTGGTCCGAGAGAAACATTTACCACAAGCTTCACATGAATATGGCTTCTCACCTGTGTGAGTTCTCATGTGAACTGTCAAGTGACTATTTTTAGAGAAACATTTGCCACACGTTTCACATGAATACGGCTTCTCACCTGTGTGAGTTCGCACGTGAACAATCAAGTGACTACTCTTAGAGAAGCACTTCCCACAAGTTTCACATGAATATGGCCTCTCACCTCCATGAGTCTTCTTATATATTTTTAGTTTGGGGCAGTCTTTGGTTTTTTTACGTCTTTTATTTTGTTTTAGTTCTTCATCGCTGTTTGATTCTGAGTCTTTGTTCCTGCGTCCATCGTGATCTTGGTTCTCAGCTTCTGTAGAACCCTGACACAAGTCTGATTCTCCAGAAGAAGACGTCCCCATGAAGGGAACACTTTCTTCATGCTGACTGATGCAGAGTTCCTGCTGTTCCTCTTTGATCAGTGAAGGTTCTGGTTCTTCCTGGTCCAAACTGGAGGTTGACTCCTGGCTACAGAGCTGCTCGTCAGTCAGTTCCGCCTCCTCCTCTTTTATGACATAATGCAGTGGGAATTCTGCACATACAAACAGATCAAACAGAATGCTGACATGTGACAATAAGGAAACACAACAATGTAAAAGTGGGAGTTATTGAAAAGGCTGATGGTGCTCGGGCTGCTATAGTTCGATATACGTCTCGATATCTTTCTCCCAGTAAAGTTTTTACAGTCAGTAAAGTATTCAATTCAAGTTTACTTATATAGCGCCAAATCACCACAAGTCGTCTCAAGGACCTCCACACAGTAAACATTCCAATTCAGGTTAGTTCATTAAGCCAATCAGAAAAAAGTTTCCTATATAAGGAACCCAGCAGGTTGCATCAAGTCACTGACTAGTGTGAGTGACTTTACGGCAATCCTCATACTAAGCAAGCATTTAGCGACAATGGAGAGGAAAAACTCCCTTTTAACAGGAAGAAACCTCCAGAGGATCCTGGCTCAGTATAAGCAGCCATCCACCACGACTCACTGAGGATCGTATGTAAGTAACACACAAACACTTTTGTTTAGAATATATTAAAAATCTATTTAAAGTAATTAAATTTCGTATGTGACAACTAGAGTTGGGGCCGTATCATTTCATTCAGCATATTCAAGTAAATTTTACTAACCCAGAAAAAAACTGATGTCATAATTTCATGACAAATAAATCCACTATACAGCAGATTACACTCACTTTGAAGCACAAATGTATTAAAGACATAAAGGAAACATGGCTGGAATCTCACAGTATTCACTCATTCCACAAAGACTTCCGCCTTTCCCGGGATCCACCAATTTCCCTTTCTTATTCACTTTCTCTCTCCTTGTCCTCACATTTTTTAATCACAATGGTTTATTTATTTTAGTCATTTTAAACTTATATATATTTTAAAATGCTCTTGAAAATTCTGCCCCTGATGGAGCTGTCCATGGTCTCAACAGTGAAATGCAGTGGGTAGGAGGGTATTTTTAAGATGGAGGTCATCTTTCCCGTCATCCTCCTTTCACACATCTCCACAGCTGAATCCAGCGGGCAGCTCAGAACCGAGCTAGCTTTGTTAAATAGCACCATAACAGACCACAGTTCAAATGTAAAGTTAAAGTCCATAGTCATCATCACACACGGGTGAAATTCATCTCCAGTGGAGAGGAGCAGTGAGCTGCAGAGGTGGCTGCGCTCGGGAACTATTTGGTGGTTTAACCCCCAATCCAACCGCTTAAAGCTGAGTGTCAAGCAGGGAGGCATTGGGTCCCATTTTAAAAATCTTTAGTATGACCCGACGGGAATCGAACCCTGACCTCCCAGTCCCAGGGAGGACACTAGGGATGTCAATCTCAGAGCAACGATTTGATTCGATTCCGATTCTCGGGGTGCTGATTCGATTCAGAATCGATTCTCGATTAAAATCGATTCACAATAAATATTAACAAAGAGTGTCAGTTCCAGGATTAATTACTTTGTTGTGCAAGTTAGTTAAAGCTATGGGAAACTTTTTATTTTACTTTAAACTGGTCATGCTAAAAGAAAAGCTAATTTACAAGGTAAAATAAAGTGATTTTAAAAGTGTTGACTGAAACAATCTTTTGACCAAAAGGCAACATTTATTTTTGCTTACCTTGTAAAATATAACAAATCTTTAGTTACCTAACAGTAGCTTTGAAAGTAATACGGTCAAATACTTTTTAAGTATCTGTGAACAAGTTTAACATTTGAGTCCTCAACCTGTTTAAAAAAAGTGCCTTAGATATCTTACAAAGGAAAATGTTTTCTCTCATTTATCAATAACTTCAAATAAATACATGAGTAATCCTGAGTACTCATTTATCAACTTAGAAAATAAACATGAGAATATCTCAAATTTCCGAGTATGGAAAAAAAATTACATTCTAGTCCCCACTTATCAGCAGATTCAAAAATAAATCATACCTATTAATGGGACTGCAAAAGTAAACGGAGTACTAACTCTCCTAACAAAGACCAAAAAAACATACAAAAGAGAATCCCAAACCTGTAACATGCCAAACATTTGAGTTCCTGGAATCGATTCTGAATCTTTATAAATAAGAATCCCGATTCAGACTTGAATCAATTTTTTTCAGCACCTCTAGCGGACACCCTACCACTAGGCCACTGAGCTGGTCTAAATTCATGTAATCTACATAGACATGAAATTGCATCACTGCAATTGTCTTTTACTTACAAAATGACCTGACATTTTGCACTGAAACTTTTAACTGTGGGAATTGATGTATCCCAGAAGCGGCTTGTGGCAAAAATCAAACCCGATCCTGTCTTTAGCGGCATGGCACTCTGCTTCTAGGACGTGTCAGGATTTTCCTATAGCGTTTCACCTTCTATTTTCTATCAGAAGCTAATGGTGTAGGTGACTATTTTCATATTCAGGCTGCATGAAAAACTAGAGAGACTGATTATAATCATTAACTAAAAATGGTTGTTCGGTGTTTGCAACTCTCTTTTCCATCACATGAAATATTTAGTTGGCACACACTACAAGTGTCTATCTGTAAATTCATTTTGTGTTGCTTTCCCAGTTCCATTTTTCTTTGGGTCTTGTATTTACACAATATGTAGAAGGAAAAAATATAATTTCTATAGCACCTCTCAAGATAAAAATCACGAGGCGCTTCACAAAAACTGTAAAGATATAAAAAATAATTTAGAAAATGGCTAAAAATATATTTAAAATGAAAAAAAAAATAGACAACTGTGATTAAAAAATGTTAAGAAAGAGAGCGTGAACAGGAAAGAGGGAAATCAGTAGATCCTGAGGAAGGTGGAATAGGTGGGGAGAGCAGAATAAAGAGAGAGTGGTGATGAAGGTCATACCAAAACCAGCTTGAACAAGTGAGTCTTCAGCTGCTTTTTAAAGGAGACCACTGAGTCCACTGATCTCAGGCTCAGGGGGAGAGAGTTCCAGAGTCTGGGGGCCACAGCAGCAAATGATCTGTCACCTTTGGTCTTTAGCCTGGTGCTGCACAACCAGTAGACTTTGGTCACTGGACCTCAGGGACCTGCTAGGAGTGTAGGGACTAAGAAGATCACCAATTTAAGATGGTGCTTGTCCATGTAAGGCCCTATAGACCAGAACCAGGATCTTGAAATGAACCCTGAAGTTGACTGGCAGCCAGTGAAGCTGGAGGAGAAGCGGGGTGATGTGGGTGTGTTTGGAGGACTTGGTCAGAAGCCGAGCACAGGCATTCTGAACCACCTGTAGACGGTTCAGGGAGGTTCTGCTCAGACACGTGAAAAGAGAGTTACAGTAGTCTAAGCGTGAGGAGATGAAGGTGTGGATAACTGTCTCAAGTTCAGAGCGAGACAGAATGGGACTCAGCTTAGCAATGTTCCTGAGATGGAAGAAGGAAAAGCAAACAAGAGAACTGACATGAGAATCCAGGGTGAGAGCTAGGTCAAAGGTCATGCCAAGATTCCTGACAGAAGGCTTGGTGTGAGAAGCAAGCTGACCAAGAGTGTCTCTGACTTTGGGAACCAGCTTGTCTGGGGCACAGATGAGGATCTCAGTCTTATCTTCATTCAGCTGAAGAAAGCTCCCAGCCATCCAGGTTTGCCAGGCACGGCATTCCACACATTGTGGTGAGTGACAACGGACCGTGTTTCAGTAGCAGAGAATGGAAAGAGTTTACAAAGCAGTTTGACTTTCGCCACGTCACATCAAGTCCACATTACACACAGTCAAATGGACAGGCAGAAAAGGGCGTTCACATTCTGAAGCAACTGCTCAAGAAAGCAGCCAACAGTAGAGCCGTTTAAAATAATCATATAATCGATGCATTGCGATGCGGACATAACTGATTATGCATCGATGCAGAAGCGCCCTATAATCGATTATAACATAATGTTTGTTTTCCAACCGCAACATGAATCTTTTAGCCTAGCATCGGCTGATTTTGTCCCTTGCTTCATACGTCATAATGGAGCGACGAATGCAGCTGCGCACTGGCGCCTTTGCGGTCATGGCGGAACAAAGCTCCGAGTTAGCGTTACAGATAAAAGACCCTCTAAAGACACTGAAAGCAGACATATGGAGCCGTTTTGGATTTTACCAACAATCAGGGAGACATGATTTGGACATGTCATATGCCGTGTGTAAAACCTGCCACAGCAAGATTAAATACGTCGGGAACACCACCAATTTAAGGAATCATGTTAGCCGTTTCCACCCTGAGTTGCTAACAATAACACCGGCTGTTGAACCGCCCAGCCCTGCGCAGCCAAGAATTGATGCGGCTCTCTCAATAATACCTCCCAACTTGGAAAAAGGGAAGAAAATAACCCAGGCTGTGGGGGCTTTCATTGCGAAGGATTTACGACCGTATTCTGTCGTGGAAAACCCTGGGTTCAAACACATGTTAAAGACACTGGAGCCACGATACAAGGTCCCTGCACGTAGCCACTTCGCAGAACAGGTAATTCCTGCACTGTATGATGAAACCAAAGCCAAGATATTAACCTCCATGAGCAAAGCTAATTTAGTAGCAATAACATGCGATTCCTGGACTTCAGTGGCAACAGAGTCCTATATTACAGTGACGGCACACTACATGAGCGAGGACTGGCAGATTATTTCCCACGTGCTGCAGACGAGAGCTGTTTATGAGTCTCACACAGGTGCACATCTGGCAGAGCTACTTTCAGATGTTGTTTCAGAGTGGCAGCTGTCAGATAAAGATATTGTCCTGGTTACAGACAACGCTTCAAACATGATTCTTGCAGCTCAAATCAGAAAATTCAAACATGTCAGATGCTTTGCTCACACATTGAACCTGGCATCACAGCGTGGGCTTCGAGTTGCATCGCTTACCAGGCTTCTGGGAAGAATCAGACGTATATCCACATTCTTCCATCGTAGCACAACAGCAAGCCACTGTTTAAAGGTAAATCAGAAATGCTTGGGTCTGAAAAATCAAAAACTACTCACAGATGTACCAACAAGGTGGAACAGTTCCTACGACATGGTCCAGAGGTTTTTGGAACAGCAACCTGCCATTTGTGCCACCTTGTTGTCACCGGAAGTTAGAAAAGGAGAGTCTGACATCTGCACGCTCAACGAGACAGATGTATCTAACGCTGAAGACGCTGTCAGTGCATTAAAAGCAATGAAAGATGCAACCACACTAATATCTGAGGAAAGCAATCCAACCATCTCCTTGATTGCTCCACTCAAGGCACAACTTCTCCAAAACATGACCAGCAGCATCAGCGACTCACCCATGATTCACGACATCAAGAATGCTGTCAGAACAGATCTCATGCACAGGTACAGCTCTGAGGCAGAGAAGAAAATGCTTTGTACAGCCTCGGCCCTGGATCCCCGCTTTAAGGGATTACCTTTCCTGACAGAGAAGGAGCGATCAGATGTCTACAGAGAAGTGACTGAGGAGGCAACATGTTTGGAGGTAAATTCATCACTTTCTTTTTGAATTAACATATACATTTCTGTATAATATTCTTAATAATTTGTCATGTTTGGTGTTGTAAGTAATTATTTACATTAGCATAAAATGAGTAAATCCACCGGAATGCTTTTATCATAATAAAAATAAATATTATGATAATAAGGTACATCAACATTTTCAAAAGTGTGATTAATCATTAAATATTTTAAAATATTGAAAGCCATACAATTTAGACAGACTAGTAAGTTCCCTATCAGATAAAATAATGATTTTTTATTTTTTCCCTAAACAGCAGGAGTGTATTCTGGCCATGCACCCAAAAGTTCCGGTGCAACCCGAAGTTCAGAAGGATGGAACCTCGGCAGACGATCCCTCGGCTGCTAAAAGAAAGCCTACATCATTACTTGTGAGCTTGCTGGGACAGTCTTTCAATGATGTTGAGGTTAGTGAAGAATCCAAGACCCCCTATGTCAGAGCTGAAGAGGAAATGGATAATTATTTGAAAACGTCATCATTGCCCCTGTCTGAGGACCCTTTAAACTGGTGGAGGGTACACAAGGTTGCATTTCCTCTCCTGGCTCGACTGTCAAAACGATACCTTTGCATCCCTGGAACAAGTGTATCTGCAGAACGTGTTTTCTGCACTGCTGGAGACATTGTCACGGCCAAAAGATCTACTCTCAAACCACAGCATGTAGATCAACTGGTGTTTTTGCACAAAAACCTTCAACTTCCAAATGTTAACTAGTCATCATTATTACTTTTCAGTACATCTTCTTAAATTCAAACAAATGTTAAAATGTTTGCACTTTTTGTTGTCCCAAGGACTGTTATGTATTATTCGTGGGTTTTCCAAAATATGCCAGTATTGGTAGATTTTGCAAACATCTGAAGAACACGTTTCTTTCCCCCCACACAGCCTGAGAAGTGAATGTCAAATAAGGAGATATTTTTTATGTTCTTAAGTCCTCTTAAATTTAAAGTTTTGTACTTTTGTATAAGGAATGTTATCACAGGAGAGAATACTTTCCAAATAATTATTTCTCATTTACGGTTGTTCAGAGTTTTAAATATTTTGTTAGCATCTACAGAACATGTTTTTCCGACAGCCTGAGACATTATTGTTTAATGAGGAAAGAGATTTTTTTTTTGCTGTGCAATCCTCTTAAATGCAAACTAAAGCTTCAAATGTTTTGTACTTTTACACTGTCCCAAGGACTGTTATCAGAAAGCTGTTTACTGCATATTTATGCAAATAAAAGTTTTTGTTAAATAAAAAAGCAAATGTCTAACATATATTTATTGATGACATGAAATCCACATGAAATAATCGTGATGCATCGTGATGCATCGAGATATCGAATCGAATTGAATCGCTGACACAATAATCGTAATCGCATCGAATCGTGAGACTAGTGAAGATTCACACCTCTAGCCGACAGCAGCTCGGATCCATACTTAGCACTGTCGAGTTACCGTGCTCCAGTGCAGATTGTCCCCAGCAGAGCTGCTAATGAACAGAAAGCTGCACACAACACTTCCAAGCTACTCGAATGCTATTGTATGCAAGAAACATGCCAAACTGAAGAACAGGCTGAACAAACAGAAAGTGAGACAGAAGACATTTTATGATATTTCAGCCAAGCCGCTGACTCCCCTGACTAACAGTGACACAGTCAGGATTGAAGACGAGGCTGGGTGGAATACAAAGGGAATGGTTTTACAAGAAGTGGCCCCAAGACCATCTGCAGTTAAAACAGAGGATGGGCAGACTCTCAGGCGCAATCGTCGCTGTCTGCTGAAGGTTCCACAATCATCCAGCGAGGCAAGTGATGCCTATTCTGAGACATCTGCAACCACACTTCCTGTGGACTGCAATGCAAACCTTTCTTCAGACAAACCAGAACTAAGAAGGTCCAGACGGGAAATAAAGAAACCTGACAGGCTGGACTTGTAGAGAGAGAAAAAAATAATAATACATGAGGGGTTTTGTGATATCTGTTGATTTGCTGATATGTTTACATTGTTTATAATGTGTTATAAAAAATAATAATTACCTTGTAATGTTAACCAGGGTTGAGAGTCACCTCAAAGAAAAGGGGATGTTATGAGCAGTAGTTATTGCAATGTGTTAACACTAGAGGTCCCTCTAAGACAGGCCACAAGGATGATGTTACCAGAAATAGTGAAGCACAGAAACGGAAGTTAGCAGTGTGTGTGTGTGTGTGTGGAAAAAAAGGTTCATCTTGTTCAACTATCAGCCTGGTTTACAGAGGTGCTGAAAAAAATCGATTCAAGTCTGAATCGGGATTCTTATTAATAAAGATTCAGAATCGATTCACAAAGGTTCAGAATCGATTCCAAGAACTCAAATATTTGGCATGTTACAGGTTTGAGGTGTACTTTTTTTTATCTTATTTAGGAGAGTCAGTACTCCGTTTACTTTTGTGGTCCCATAAATTGAGATGATTTCTGTTTGAATCTGCTGATAAGAGGGCACTTGAATGTAATTTTTTCCATACTCAGAAATTTGAGATATTCTCATATTTATTTTCTAAGTTGATAAATGAGTACTCAGGATTACTCATGTAACTTGTTTCTACACATACTTGAAAAGTATTTGACCGTATTACTTTCAAAGCTACTGTTAATAACTAGTGATTTGTTATATTTTACAAGGTAAGCAAAAATAAATGTTGCCTTTTGGTCAAAAGATTGCTTCTGTTTACAGTTTTAGAATCACTTTATTTTACATTGTAAATTTGCATTTTTGGAGCATGACCAGTTTAAAGTCAAATAAGCTTTAATAAAGCCCATAGCTTTAACTAACTTGTACAACAAAGTAGTTCATCCTGGAGCTGACACTCTTTGTTAATACGGATTGTGAATCGATTTAAATTAAGAATCGATTCTGAATCGAATCATGAGTTGCTCTAAGATTCACATCCCTAATGGTTTATGTGCAAAGACAACGAACACAACACACACCAGCCTAAAATGCACGATTCGTGCACGTGGAGGATCGTGTGCGTTTCAGGTGTTTAAAATGATACATTTTTACACAACCTTTAATTCATTGGTAGCCATCGGCAGGGGGAAGTTGAGATGGTTCTAAAGGTCCGTGACTAGGAGCCCAATCTTTTATATTTAAATAAAATAGCATAATTGGTACATTTTCGCCCCAAATCCCTGGCCATCTGTATGTGAAGAACGTTTCATGCAATTCTGCCAAGTAAAATGTTGCAGAAAAGCCATTTCATACTGAACCGTTGACTATCTGTGCTTCTAACGAACCCTTCCCCTGAGACTGTGCCCTCGGTAAAGCCCATAACATCTATGGAAGAACCACACGAGTCCCGCTGGTGAAACATACCCATTCTGTGCAGGTCTGCGGTTTCCAGCTCACATCCAGCCGTCACCGATCTCTTCCACGGACTGGTCACTGGACGATGAGTTTTTACAAACTGTAAATAATTTTTTAGCAGCAGCAGGTATTCTCTTGCTGAACAACCCTCCCATGGACTAAAATGAAGAAATGAATGCTGCAGAGACTCAAATGTTCACCTCATATCAAAACAACAAAAAGCTAACCTTGCTAAAGGCTCTCCACGCGCGACGTCATTTGATATCGTAGGATGTCCACGGAAGGTCCCGCCTTTCTCGCCTCTGATTGGCTAGACAGGCTCTACTCAGATTGGCTATTTCATTTAGCAGCAACCCGTCTTCCCTAGTGCATATTGTCCTCTTGACGCCAGCAGAACAGCTGGTTTTGGGAGTTTTGTAAAGAAAATATTACCTTACCTCTATAATACCGATTCTGTCTTGTTATGCGAAATAGTTTTTTCCGTTTCTTTTATCAAAAGACACCCAAATAACGTAAAATGTGAACATAAATCTTGTATTCATCTCACTTGTCTCTCAGGCATTGAGGTTATCCTATTATATGTGTGTGCCTTACCTGGGTATGAAATAAACTGCCCTATTTTACCCAGCTGTGAGCAGCAGGTATTTTCCCCTTCTAAAATAATGTAAATGGTGAAATATGTCTGTTGTGCATGATCAGCTTTGAATTAAATTTTGATTAAATGATAAACATTTAAACAGATTATGTGCTCTAACTTGTAAACAGGCTTAATCTATTAAAGTGAAGCCATAAAATAGCCTGTGGTAATAAGATAACCTCATCTTACATTGTGATAAATGCAACAAAATGTATTTCAAGTACACATTTTACGTTTTTCGGGTTCTTTTACAAAACAAACTGGAAATGGTTTGCTGCAAAACAGGGCTGAATGGTTATTAAGGTGCTAAGTAAAAAAAACAACAAAAGATCCATCTGCAAAAACGCTGCAGCGTTACATGAAATAACCAATCGTAGGAGAGCCCTTCCAGCCAATCAGAGGCGAGAAAGGCGGGCCCTTCCTTGGACATCCTACGATTCCAAATGACACTCACCGGAAAATCTTCTTCGACGGTTTGGTGGTTGGATAACAATCACGTTGTGCTGTACCGCTACCAACTGGCCTGGAGTGTGCAGCAGTATTCGATCACACCCCCCCACCCTTAGCTCCACCTCTTTTTGTATTTGTGGATGGTCTGGGCGTAACGTATCGCCATAGTAACGAGACCAAGCCAACACTGAAGAGGCTAAACTTGCAGTTCCACCCTTATACACTAGGGTCTGGGAGCAGATGTGAGCAAATCCTCATTGACTCCCATGTTAATGCTAATTTCACAGCAGAAACAAACATGTTCACAGCCTGGTTAAAAAACATTTTAGGTTTAATAGATCTAGTTTACATTCATGACTACTCTGAGGGGGGTGAATTTTTTGTAACTCTTCTGTTCATGTGGACTTTAATGCTCAAAATTCAGAATAATTAATGAGCATCAGAGCCACGTGACTTCAGAGCTAGCTCTGGAGAAAGGCCTCAGCCTCGGCCTCACGTTAATAGATGTTCGGCCATTTCACTTAACCCACCTTGCCTGCTGGTGGTGATCGGAGGGACCGGTGGAGCCTGTGTATGGCAGCCTCGCCTCTGTCAGTGTACCCCAGGGCAGCTGTGGCTACATCGTAGCTCATCCCCACCAGCGTGTGAATGTGTGTGTGAATGGGTGAATGACTAATTGATGTCAGCACGGGGGTGCCGCACGGGACAGTTCTATCACCCTTCCTCTTCACCCTTTACACATCTGACTTCATGTACAAGTCTCAGTCTTGCCATCTGCAGAAATTCTCTGATGACTCTGCCATTGTGGGCTGTATCAGGGATGGTCAGGAGGTGGAGTACAGGAGTGTGGTGGACAGCTTTGTGGAGTGGTGTGAGCTAAACAACCTACAACTTAACATCACAAAGACTAAAGAACTGATTATGGACTTTAGGAAGCAGGCCCCACCTCCTACTCCTGTCACCATAAGAGGGGCTGACGTTGAGATCGTTGAGGACTACCGGTACCTGGGTGTACACTTGGACTGTAAACTGGACTGGACTAAGAACACCAATGCCATCTTCAAAAAAGGGCAGAGTCGGCTTTTCCTACTGAGGCGGCTCAGGTCCTTCAATGTTGGTAGGAAAATGCTGACCATGTTCTATCACTCGGCATTGGAGAGCGTTGTGTTCTTTGCAGCTGTGTGCTGGGGCAGTGGGGTGAAGATAGCTGATGCCAACCGGCTGAACAAGCTGATTAGAAGGGCTGGGTCTGTCCTGGGTGTTAGACTGGAGAACCTGGAGGAGGTGTCTGAGAGGAGAATGCTAAAAAAGCTTCTCTCTATCATGAACAACCCCTCCCACCCCATGCACGCCCACATGATGGACCATCGAAGCACACGCAGCAAAAGACTCATTGCCCCGAAATGCAGAACTGACCGCCACAGGAAATCCTTCGTACCGGTGGCAATAGGATTGTTTAACTCTTCCTCACGCTGTAGGTGATTCTCCAAATACTATTACCTTGGTTATTCTGTGCCCTCACCGACTGTGCAATATTACCCAAGAGTTCTGATTGTAAAATGTTTTTATCCCCCCCATCATATCATATGCTGCTACAAACCCATATTCTTTTACACAATACTTTAATCACTTTTGTGAATCGCCTGCACCAACGGCTTAACTATTTATTCACAAGGATGCAGTCATGTATTTAATTATTGAGATATGCGATTGTTTGTTTTGCACTATCCTACATGGTACTACTGTAGATCTTTCTTTTTTTTTATGAATATATTGTATATCATATTTCTATTTCACCTGTTCCTTTGTCTCTCCAACTGCTTTGAGCATGTACATGACACAAGAATTTCCCTCGGGATAAATAAAGTTGTTCTCATTCTTATTCTTATTCTTAATTGTGTTGTAAAGCGCCTTGGGGGGTTCCAGGACTCTAGAAGGCGCTATATCAAATACAGACCACAGGTCATTTCGACTGTTGGAACTTTAGTTTTGTCTGTATGTTCGTGTTTGGATGTTAATCGTGGAATTAGTTGGACAAAAAGGCAAGCTGTGGTTAATAACAGACTATCCAAGCAGCTCCTGCTTCTTTTTATCAGTCAGTAAAATTATATTTCTGTACATAATTTAGCTGGTTGAATGGGGGGAATGCTGTCATTTAACTGCTTGGTCAAACATGATAGTGGGGCTGCATAAGAACCTTGAGCGAGTGCCCAGCTTCTCCTGTCTCCTGTCTGAGAATAACAGGTGGCTGGCTTTTCCATTTTCCCAGGTTAGCCGGGCTGGCTCCAAAGCGAGGCTGTAGTCATGCTGGTCAATGGTGGATCTCTGAGTGAGACCATGGAAACACTTCAGCTCTTTTTGTTGACGCTGCTTCACTTTTGAGTTGCTTAACTGCGTTTATCTTGCTGAAAAAGCCTGGAAAAACTCAGTTAACTTCGGGTTAGCATGTTGCAAATGTCCCACTGATCTCCAGATCAGAGAAGGGACATGTCGGACATGTGGATCTTTCACTGCGGCGGACCAGCAAAGCCCGATATCTTCGGTCAGCATACCTAGTTATGATTTATTACCAAGCAGGCCGGAGGTGCCTTTACTTTGGAGTTGCTGTACCGTGTTTTTCTTGCTGAAGGGTTAACATGGGTGAGTTAGCATGTAGCTAATGTCCCGCTGATCTCCAACCGTGGAGCAAGAGCTGATGTAAAAGGCCACGGCGCCCAGAAATGATCACAGCAGTCTGAGGCTCCACTTGTAATTCTTCTTCTGTTTTTTAAATGGCAGGTGGCATCCAACTTAAGGTGAATTTTTGCCACCTACTATCAGGTGTGTTGAAAAAAAAACCCACCTGATTTCATTCAGCAGGTGATTAACCGGCTTCTGCAGAGCTTGATGAGCTGCTGAACAGGTGAATTAACTGTGTTGGAACTGGGAAACAACAAAAGATGCAGGAGACTGGCCCTCGAGGACTGGAGTTAGACAAATACTTTTAAACACAATTTGAACCATCAATCTGAGTGTCGTTGCTGTTTTCGCCCTCCAGTCCAGTAGGTGGCGGTTGTTTGCCTGTAACGTCAACGAGGAAAAGCAGAATAAGAACACTTCCGGTGAAGAAATTAGCAAAGTTAGCTTAATGTTTTTTAATGTACGAGGTTTGAGAATCTGCAGTAACAATGTCCCCGGGCCAGTCACTGAGAGAGTTTATCAGCAAGCGGCTATCTACTGCTGCGGAAGAAATATTATCAGAGTTTGTAAAAACCATCGTCCGCTACGAGGAAGAGATCGATCGTCACCGCAGACTGTTGGATATCAGCTGGAAACCACAGATCAGCTTACACAGAATAGGTATGATCCGCAAGGGTTTACTGAGGACACTACCTCAGGACAGTCTGCTGGTTAACTTTGTTCCCACTTCAGAGAAATAAATCAATAACATTTCTGCTCTCTTCGTCCACGAAAACACCCTCATCCATTATCCTCAAAGACTAATTAATCTTAGCGTTTGAACACTAACCTGTAGTACTTATTAGTACAATTTAAATCAGTAAGTCTAATAGAAACTGTTCAGGTCTGCCGTGGGTCTCTCTCTCTCTCTCTCTCTCTCTCTCTCTCTCTCTCTCTCTCTCTCTCTCTCTCTCTCTCTCTCTCTCTCTCTCTCTCTCTCTCTCTCTCTCTCTCTCTCTCTCTCTCTCTCACACACACACACACACACACACACACACACACACACACACACACACACACACACACACACACACACACACACACACACACACACACACACACACACACACGCACACACACACACGCACACCCTTGTCAGTTTTATTTTCTGACTGTAAAACTTTGTGTGTTAGGCATCTTTAGATTCTTTAGATGATTAAAGTGTTCTGTCCTAGTGTCTCAGCATGCTGTTTGGTCTGTTTGTGTCCAGAACTCCCACTGCCAGCGCCTTATGTCAGGAAAGATGAAGATGCTCTAACTCACCAGCTCTGGAACCAGGAGACATCCTCCAGTTTGAACCAGAAATGTCCAGAATCTTTACTGATTAAAGCAGAGCAGGATGAGGCAGATCCATTACAGATTCTAGAACAAGAGGAGCTCTGCATCAGTCGGGATGAAGAGCAGTTTGTGCTGAAGCAGGAAACGGCTACCCCCCTCGTGACTCCTACTGATGAGGAAAGAAACCACAGCGAACCAGAACCAAACAGAAACCAGCTCCTTTTCTTAACGTTTCCTGGGGCTGAGATCCAACAACAGAAAGAAAACAGAAATGAAAAGGTGGAGCAAAGTCAGGGAAGTCCACAAACCAGAGATCACAGAGAAGATGTAGACCGTTCAGAACTACAGAGGCGCAGAAAAACTCACTCAGGTAAAATCTGTGTGATTGTTAAATCTGTGGTAAATGTTTTTGAGTTTCAGCTCAACTGTTCACTTTAGAGTGAAAACACATTTAAACTCACAAAATACTAGAAGCAAATAATAATAATCATCATTATTATTGACAAAGCAGTGACATGTGCTTTTCTCCCTTTAGACATGTAGAAAAGTACAAAGAGAAACAACAACCAGAGTGGAAGCAACAACAACGTAGCCACGTTTCACCTAATGAAATTATAGAAATGACTAATAAAATGTGTGAAAATCGGCCATACATATTCCTCCCACCTCTCCCAGTCTAACAAATACATCCGTCTTTAGGTTATGTTTTCCATCTCAAACGTTTTCCTGGTCGCCTCATAACATTCCTCAGTAGTCGGTTCACTTTGGACCATCTATTATTTTGTGTGGGCATCTGGTTAGGATGCCTCCTGGACGCCTCCCCAGGAAGGTGTTTCAGGCAAGTCCTGCCGGTGTCGGTACAAGATCTGCTCGGATGCAAGATCGGCTCGGGGTCCTTCGACTGCCGATGACGTCAAAGTACGGCAAACCCACTTGGACAAAATACACTACACATCTATACTGTTGGAAAGAATTTAGCAATTTCGTTGTTAAAATAATGTTTCTTACGATGTAAGTTTGTGTTTATAACGGTATTTGTAAAATAAAACACTATATTTTATTCATAATGTTGAACTCCTCTTTGAGCACATCCCTTGAAGGATCATAGGTATTAGCAACACCTTTGAAATTGTATTTGCAGGAAAGAAGTGTGTCCCGTTTATTGAAGTATTTTGTGTTTAGAGTTTTTGACGTCTTGTTCATGCGTAGTTCAGTTACGCTCATAGCTGCTAGCCAAAACTCAGGAGTTATTTCTGGCTTTACTAAAATACCTGTCTGTACTTATTTGATTGATGGTAGTTTTACTTTCTATTAGACTCCAAATGTAATCATTTGGCACGTTTCTAATTCATAATTTGTAATAATGTAATCTGTGAAATTAGCATTAGCATTCCTATGGGTTTTTCCACGTATATTAGCATTGCGCTAACCACTCGCTGCCAAATTGCAGCCTTTGCGATTAGAAAATCTCCTTTTGTCACATCGCAATTTAATTGCACATGAAATTAATCGTTCAGCCCTAATATACATGCAGCTCTATGCTAAAAGTGTATTTTCAAAGAGGTAATGATGGATTTCTTTGTAAAAGTCGTCCATCTTTCCAACAGAAAATGTGCCTGGACCAACGTAACGTGATAACAACGTAACGTGATTACGTAATTCCGTAAGGTTCATGTTCAGCCAATCAACTACTTTGACGTCATCGGCAGTCGACGGACCCCGAGCCGATCTTGCACCCGAGCAGATCCTGTACCAACACCGGCAGGAGGCCCCCTGGTCGTCCTAGGACACATTGGAGAAAGTACATCTCCGAACTGGTCCAGGAACGCCCTAAGGTCCTGCCGGAGGAGCTAGTGGAGGTGGCCGGGGAGAGGACGGTCCGGAACTCTAGTTAGGATGCTGCCCCTGCGACCCGGACCGGTGTCCAATAACTTATCCACCACCAGACGACGTGACTTGTCTGCCTCTGAGTGACCTACTCATAAGCCACGCACATTATAAGATCCAACATTTATGTTCACATATTTCAGTTAATTTTGCCTTCTGCCGGCACTAGGCTGAACTTCTGCCGTGCTAGCTGAGGCTACCGGGGCAGCGGGCTGCAGCGGCAGTTCACCCTCCGCACCAGACGTCTTATTAAGACGTCGCCTGCTTGGCTCAAAGAATCGGCGGGCATATGTCCCTGCTGGTCAAAGTTGTGGATCATACATGTCGGAAACTTCGCCACACTCAGCACTGACCTGGAACGAACCAAATCTGCCACTGCTGGAGTTGATCTTCTGGCAGGTGACACGCCTCCTCGTCTCTCTGACAGGTAGGATGCTAAAGTGTCTGCTTCCAGCGTGGGGGAGATTCGAGTGGCGAAAACACTCACCAATTTAGTTCTAATCACTGGGATGTTGTCTACTATGGTTCCAGCTATCCCAATGTTTTTCTGCTGCTCCTTGGATGTGCAGCCATCCCTCCTCCTTCCCGCTGTGCGCCACGCTTTTGAGTCGCTCCTCTTTTCTCAGCGTTACTCCAGGAGGGGGACTGTGGCAATTCACCCTCACCTCCTCCTCCTGGCTCGGTTGCTTGTCCCGCTGTAAGGTTCTCCTCACCACGAAACCGTACCGGTACCTCCAAATCCTCCGGCTGCTTCGGTGGGTTGTGGGTGCCCTCCAGAATTCTCAGCCTGTGATCCACAACCGCCACGCCTGCACCGAGATTATCGCCCGCTTTTACCTGAGACTCCACCGCCGCCCTCAGGCACGCCAGCTCCCCGTTCAGCTTTTCCATCCGGCTGAGTAGAGCCGACGCATCCAAGTACCCGAACCCCACAGGAGGAAGCTCATCCAAATAATGAGAGATGAACCTGGGAATGTTTTCACCACACTTGTTCAGCACTTTCAGACAATCTTTGATGTTGAGTCTTTTTGTTGGCCTTTATGCCTGATGTGACGCACAGAGGAACTACATAGTTCAAACAGCAAGCGTTTGGATTCTTCAACCCACTCCGACGAGAAATTGTTTGAGACTAAAAACACAAATTCATCCTGGGAGAGAGTTCTCATTTTGACATCAATAAAATTTAGAAGTTCGTCGTCCACAATTGTTTTTCCATCTGCTGTCTTATATATAAGGATCTCGGATTTTCCTTGAGAACCAGCAACTCCACCAGCTCCTCTGACACGCACAGCCACACCCGACGGCGACGCCATGTCACCAATCCAAAAAAAAAAAAAAAAACATGATAATGACTGGTACTAAAAGCAAGTGAGACACGAGTTGACCAACACTTTCTTCCCTTTTATAGGATTTTGCTTCAGTTTTAGACTTTGGTGTTTCAGCACCAATATGCTACGGTTTGTTTCTGGCTTCTTGTTTAGCTTAGAAAGTGTTTTAGACAATGTTCTCCAAAAATGAACACCAGTCTGAGGCAATAGTAAAAATGAATTCGATGTCTAGTGACTGAACTGCTCCTAGGTTGTTCATCCTCCTAAATACAACTGGATTATCCTTTTGAGACTGAGGCATTGTGGGTAGTTTGGCTGGGAGAATGTTTGAGACGAGCCAGTTCTGCATAGATTAGATTAACTGGTACCCAGTATGGCCGTGTTTCGTCGGTTCTTTCGGGCCTTTATTGGCTTCCAGTCAGGTACAGAATTTATTTAAAAGTTGTGTAACTTGTTTTTAAATGCCAAAATGGTCTTGCCCCACAATATTTGTCTGAGTTGTTGACTTCTCGTTGACTTCGGTTGGCTGATCGTGGACTACTCGTGCCCCTGACAAAACGTAAGGGCAGAGCAGACCGAGCCTTGTGGGTGATTGGTTCCAGGTTATGGAACGCTCTGCCTATAGAAGTAAAACAGGCAACTCGCCTGAAGATTCACCTTTTTTTTAGCCTTCTATTGAGTTGGTTGGTTTTTTACTGCGATTTTTACAGGATTGCTGCAAACTGTGTTATTTCTCTCTTTTTTGTATGTTGTTATTGTACAGCACTGTGGTACACATTGTTGTTTTTTATTGGTGCTTTATCAATAAATTGGATTGGCTCTCACCTGATGTAAGATCTGATTGGTTCCCATTCTGATCCAAACATCCTGTGGTAGAATGTGAAATGTTAGTTGACAACTATATAGGCCATAAAGAGAAATGTGATTTTTTTTCTTTTGTTTCCCATAAGCACACTAAAAATCTACAGCTGATAACCTTTACTTATTATTACAGTCATATCGTCATATGCACGTCTACAATATATGATATCCACAAGCATGTGAGGATGTGTTTCAGTGGCTAACAGGCACCAGAATTTTACACTATTATGAACACTAACGCGATACGTTCAGCCGTTGTCACTCGCAAGCTACATATAGGGAAATCTGTCCGACTTAAACGCCAGCTTTTAGCCACTCCCCCTGTGGGGTCCGTCTGCTCTCATCTCTTTTCCAAGCCTCATCTCGAACAAGGCCAATAACTCTGTTACCTAAACGTTTCCCAACAATAACCAGACTCCTTGCATGAGATTTATAAACAAAGTGGGACTCTTGTCTGTGACACCAAGCAGCTCAGCTAGCTCAGAGGGTGTTCTCTGCAGAGGCGTTATGATCCAATCCTTTACAAGGGAACCAGAACTGGATTGGATAAAGTTTACCAGGACTGAACGTTTCATTTATTATTTATTTAGACTTAACATTTAATTTATTGGTTGCTATTGGTATGTGAAGAGCATTTCAAGCAATATTGCAAAAATATTTCCAGGAAACACCTCATACTTCACCTTTAATCAATGTTTTCTTCTGCCTTTTAGCCTGTCCAGAACTCCCACAGAATCAAGTCAGGGTAAAGGAGGAGGATATGACTGATCAGCAGCTTTGTAGCCCGGAGACAACCTCCAGTTTAGACCAGGAGGAACCAGAACCTCCACTGATCAAAGAGGAACAGCAGGAGCTCTGCATCAGTCAGCCTGAAGGGCAGTTCATTCTGAAGCAGCAAAGTGTTGCCTTCATGGAGACTTCTCCTTCTGAAGTGCCCGACTGCTGTCAACCAGAACCAAACAGGAGCCAACCCTTGTGTCAGAGTTCTACAGAAGCTGAGAGCCAAGATCAGGATGGACGCAGCAATGAAAACTCAGAATCAAACAGTGATGAAGAACTAAAACAAAATAAAAAATGTAAAAAACACAAAGATCACAGCCCTAAACTAAAAACACAAAAGAGAACTCACACAGCTGAGAGGCCATTTTCATGTCAGACATGTGGTGGATGTTTTTCTAAGAGGAGTATATTGACTGTTCACATGAGGACTCACACAGGTGAGAGGCCATTTTCATGTCAGACTTGTGGTAAACGTTTCTCTCGGAGTAGTGACTTGACTGTTCACAAGAGAACTCACACAGGTGAGAGGCCATTTTCATGTGAAACTTGTGGTAGATGTTTTTCTAAGAGGAGTATATTGACTGTTCACATGAGAACTCACACCGGTGAGAGGCCATTTTCATGTCAAACTTGTGGAAAAGGTTTCTGTCAGAGAAGCAACTTGATTACTCACTTGAGAACTCACATAGTTGAGAAGATGTGAATCACAGGTGCCAAGATCAGGCCCTCGGGCCAAAACTGGCTCGTGAGATCATGTATGAGTGTCTGTTAACTAGCCTGCTGGCACAAAGACTACAAGACTACAAATCCATAGTGCTTTGCAACATCAGCGCGTGAGTCAAAATGTGCGTTCCAGTTGTCCTCGGAACTTGTTTTTCCGATATAAGTTGGCCGTAAATGATGCAATGAACTCGGAATTCCGAGCTGCGAGCTCATAGGTTTCAGATGACCCAGAGATCCCAAATTTAAAGATGGCTGAGCCCAGTGCTACCAGGAAGTAGTTATTGTCTTTATTTTTTTAATCACTTATATGTTCTGTTTTCTTTCTTTTTGCTATTTAATAGCACTGGCAAGTTGTTTATTGTTGTTATTATCAATAGTTATGTTGTTGAAAAATGTAACACTAGCCACATTTACATGCGCCAAATTTACCCAATCTGATTCAAATTTTGGTTGATCGGAAATCTAAAATGATCCAATCATGCCGTGATTTTTTTATGCACCAATTATTCAATCAGATTAAATAGGTTGAGCATGTGCAGAGTTGTCTTCCCTGAAAAAAAAGTAAAACGTCACAAAATAAACTTCCTGCTTTCCTGATTCATTTAATCATTTTAATGTTTTTTTTTTGCTCACAGAAGCTACGTTTTCTTCAGTGAATAACTGCAGGTTTACGCTTTGCTGCATTTTATTATTAACAATATTAAAATAAGGGAGGGTTATCCTTGTCAGCTGGTCCGCGGGTCTGAGGTGACGGCTGGGCGTTGGGTGACCAAATGCTTTGAGAAGCTGGTGCAAAAACATATCAAGGACTTCCTCCCACCCAGCATGGATCCCTACCAGTTTGCATATAAAGCAAACAGCTCCACTGAGGATGCTTTATCTAATGCTCTCCACTCCCCTTTACAACGTCTGGAGAACTCCAGCACTTCCGTTAGAATGCTTTTTATTGATTTTAGCTCTGCTTTTAATATCATAACCCCGAACATTCTTGTTGCCAAGTTGATCAGTCTGAACCTCCCCCCTACCACCTGTGGCTGGATCAAAGATTTCCTTACCAATCGCCCACAGGCTGTCAGGTTTCGTGACAGGCGGTCATCCACTCTGATGCTCAGCACTGGTTCCCCTCAGGGCTGTGTGCTAAGCCCCCTGCTGTTCACCATCTACACCCATGACTGCATTCCTATTCATCGCTCTAATAAGATCATAAACTTTGCAGATGACACCACTCTTGTAGGACTCATCCATAACAACAATGACGCAGCATACAGAGATGAGGTTTGCCATTTATCAGAATGGTGTGATGATCACAACCTCTCTCTTAACATCAAGAAGACCAAGATGGTTATTGACTTCCGAAGGAGTAAGGATGCCCCCCGCCCTCTCTGCATTAAAGGAGCTGAGGTGGAGAGAGTTCCCTCCTTTAAGTTTCTCGGGATTTACATCTCTGAGAATCTGTCATGGACAATCAATACCACTGCCTTGGTCAAAAAAAGCACAACAGCAGCTGCACTTCATAAGGGTCCTGAAGTGGAATAGGCTGCAGACCATCCTCCTGGTGTCTTTCTATCGATCAATCATTGAGGGCGTGATGACTTACGCTATCCCTGTGTGGTACGCGGGGTTCAAAGTAGCTGACAAAAACAGATACCAGAAGGTCATCAGAGCGGCGGTAAAGATGATTGCATGCACCCTCCCCTCCTTGGACACCATCGCCTTGCTGAGGTGTCTCACTAGAGCAAGGACCATCTCCAGGGACGTTTACCACCCAAACCACTACCTTGTTGCCATGCAGCCCTCTGGGAAAAGGTTCAGATCCCTCAGCTGCAGGACTGGGCTGTTAGAACCCTGAATGGACAGAAAAATCAACTACATTGATACTATTTATTGTATTTTGTACTGTCTTTGTTTTTATTCCATGTTGCATATTGTACTTGTTTTAGCTTTTTTTTTTAGCATTTTTAGTGAACACCTAATGTGAAGTGCTAGGAGATTTCATTGAATGGACAATCATTTAATGACAATAAAGGATATCTACATCTACATCTATCTACATCTACATATGCCTTTGAACATGAAGCAGTTGAGTAAGTCCAAATATCTTAAAAATTGCTATTCATCACTATCACCTTGCTTTCATCATGTATGTCATAATTAACTAGTCATTGTTCATACAAGTAATAATCTTCATTTCATTGCTTGTGTCATTGCACTCAAAATTGTTGAACATCTTGTCAAATATTTTACACATCCATTTTGATAACAGTGTTTTTAAAGAGTTTCCATGAAAATCTCCATAAATGACTTTTCTCAGGTGAACCCTGTCTTACACTAATGAAAAGAGGTGCGTGAACTATTACTTGCAACCAATGAAATGCCTCTTCTACACAGTCCCTAACAGGTGAATTGCGTTAACACCTACTTTACAAGTATCTATAAATACTGTAACCCAGTACACAGGATTGGCAAGAGGTGCATACTGTATCTACAAAACTGCAGAACATGGAAGGTCAGCCTTGTGGAAGAGGGGTGAGGATGTGAGGAGGAGGGGACAAGACTGAGGAAGAAGAGACTAACCACATAGACAGATTCCTGACAAAATCAGGGCAGCACTTGTGGATCATGTGATAAACTATGGTCTCACAATGGTCGATACTGGTCGAAGGGTGCAGCCAAATGTTGGGAGAACTACTGTAAGTTCTATGTGCTGCCGCCATGGCTCCAGCGTCATCCTCTCGCCCGCTGGCAGCTGCACACACCGCCAGTCTCTCTGCAGCCCCCTGGCACAGCTCCGCTCCTTGGACACGTCACGCCCTCCTCGGCCCAAGGCCCTAACAAGATGTAGAGGCACCAGCACCAACATTGCACCACTCACATGGGGGAGGAGAGGGCAACTCACGATCCTCCACAGTTGGTCGCTTGTCCACATCCCAGGACAGTGCTCCAGGTGCCGTTCTGCATTCTAGGGTGGTCGGGCGTTCGTGTCCTTGCCGGAGACGTCACCATCCAGGGTGCGTCTCTTACTCTCAGACCTTCTGCATGTCTCTGGTGTCTGCTGCTCTCCTGGACTCTTTTCTCGGTTCCTTTTATACCTCGTTTGGAGTCCATTGCACCTGTGGGCATTCCACACCTGTTCCCATTTGTTCCAATTAGTGTCTCTGGGAGGTACCACAAAGGGAAAAACCATTCCAAACACAAAATAAGCATGTAAGCAAAAAAACAAAAAACAAACAAATCACGCAACTTAAACTAAATCCAAACTTTTCCACTTTGTGACATCTACGTGAGTTTATATTTGTTGTTATTGTTTTATTTCCCCAGCTGCACAATGCTGTGAACAGTTGCAAGTAAATATTAAGAGTGCATATTAAGTGTTTTGATTATCCTTTACAATTTCTAGTTTTCAAAATGCTGTGTTGTCCTGACTACATGCCATTGGTAAGCACCTACAAAGTAATCCGTCACAATGAAAACATGTTCAAACCATTTGATTTTGTGACCAAAGATGCTGGTGTAATGACTTGTGATTTTGACAGCACTGACACTTTGATATAAATACTGGCTTTTGATGAACATATTATCCATTTTGATTAAGGGACTTGCTTTTGAAGCATGAACTACCCATTTTGAGCAAACGACTTTTGTTTTTGAAGAAGTGACTGACTTTTGCAAGATATCCACCATATTTCGCAGTTTGCACTAATTGTTTTGAGAAGAGCCATAACAGTGGTGCAAATTTCAATTCTTTTGCGAGAAATGCACCAAAGCAACTGAGAAAAACTAATTCTAATTTTGTAGTCTTAAGTGTGGCTTTTCTCCTAAGACTATAAATGGGGTGTACTCGTTTGTGCAAAATGGGCTTGAATGGATTTGTTACTTTTTACATGTGAAAATCAACAAATCTTGTTTGTAATCAATGGCCCACATTTGTGGGAGTATTAAAAATGTCTCTGGGTGAGAAGGAAATAGACCGAACAAGCTAGTTAACAAACCAATCTCGGTTCTGGGCTGCCAACCAGTTCAGCTGAGATGTGTGAAAGGAGTATGCTGGGAAAGATGACCTCCATCTTGGAAAACCCCTCCCACCCTCTGCTTTCCACTGTGGAGACCATGGACAGCTCCTTCAGAGGCAGACTGAGACATCCCAGATGTAAAACAGAACACTACCATAGGCCATTCATCCCCTCTGCAGTAAGAGTCTGTAACTCCTCAGTTTAACTTGGACTGGCATTATCCTGGTACACTATAAAGTCAATGTTATACTCAGTATGTGTTGAATACTTGTGCAGTACCGGATGAACATTAGTATGTCCGTGTCCTTTAGGCTGCATAGTTATGAAAACAAGTTTAATTAGCATTTTTTTCAGGAGTTGATGGTTAATATATATATATATATATATATATATATATATATATATATATATATATATATATATATATATACCTTTGTGGTACCTCCCAGAGACATCCATATATACAAGAGGTGGCTCCTTGTATGCATATATATATATATGCATACAAGGAGCCACCTCTTGTATATATGGATGTCTCTGGGAGGTACCACAAAGGTATATATATATATATATATATATATATATATATATATATATATATATATATATATATATATATATATATCGGTTTGTAAAAAAGTTATGGTTTATATGAGAGGAAATAAGGGTTTTTAGTTGTAGCTATGATGGCTCCAGGCCAGTTGGTGGCGGTAACACACAACATCGTTGTTTGCCAACTACTTAAAACCTTCGAACTACCACGAAAGACTTGTAGCATTATTAGCTTGTTGTTTTTTTTTTAAAATGAGGTAATTATGTGAGTCTCTGTAATAATTTAGTCACTGAGAGAGTTGATCAGCAAGCGACTATCTCCTGCTGCTGCTGCTGCTTGAGGAATATGCAGACCGAACAAGGACGTGATCGGTCGTCAGCGCTGCTGGCTGGATGTGAGCTGGAAACCACAAACCTGCTCAGAATGGGTATGTTTCACCAGCGGGTTTTACTGGGAACAGAACATCAGTCTGGTTGGATTAGGAAATGCTTCTTTTCTGAAGCCTTAAGACACAATCCAGGTGAAATCACTGTAAAACGTTTTCCCACTTTATTTTTGCGCTTTAGAAATATAAACAACAATTCGGGGATTTTAGGAAGAATATTTGCCAAATTACTGGTTCCTTATAATCTTTAGATGCACCAGATGATTAAAATTAGGTTTTCTTTTCTTTTCTCCTTTAGCCTGCCCAGAACCCCCACAGCAACATGGCTGGGTAACAGAGGAGAGTCCGACTGACCAGCAGCTCTGTAACCGGGGCACAGCCTCCAGTTTGGACCACGAAGAACCAGAACCTTTACTGATTAAAGTGGAGCAGGATGAGGCAGATCCGTTACAGTTTCTAGAACAAGAGGAGTTCTGCAGCAGTCAGGATGAAGAGCAGTTTGTGCTGAAGCAGGAGGCTGTTATCTCCCTCGTGACTCCTACTGATGAGGAAAGAAACCACATCGAACCAGAACCAAACAGAAACCAGCTCCTTTTCTCAATGTTTCCTGGGGCTGAGATCCGACAACAGAAAGCAAGCAGAAATGAAAAGGTGGAGCAAAGTCAGGGAAGTCCACAAACCAGAGATCACAGAGAAGATGTAGACCTTTCAGAACTACAGAGGCGCAGAAAAACTCACTCAGGTAAAATCTGTGTGATTGTTAAATCTGTGGTAAATGTTTTTAAAGGGTTTATACTCCGGGAGTATGGGGCACCAGGCTCTCTGATATTAGCTGTTTGGTCCCTGTATGATTGTGGTGTCAGAGCTTGGTCCGCGTTGCTGGCAGTAAGTTGGACTCGGGTGCCCTTTGTCACCAATTCTGTTCATAACCTTTATGGACAGGATTTCTAGGTGCAGCCAAGGTGTTGAGTGGATCTGCTTTGGTGGATCAGAGGCCCCTTCCTCCACCTGCACCCATGAGGGGCGCACCCACTTGAAGTCATGGAGCTAGCTTGGTAGCAAAACTACACTCAGATGGGCTGACTCTTCACTTTTGGACTTGATTGCAAACATAAAAAGTCTAATATAAAAACAGATCGCACTTCAACTTAAAATACCTGGCAGGGGTATATTTAGCCTCGGCCCCCAAAATGCTTAGCTACGTCCCTGGGCGTGGGATGGAGTTTAGAAGATGATCTGAATCGTATCAAATACATAAATACTACATGCTGATAAATTATTGCTTTATACAGGTACAAACGTGTAGTGGGATCAATCTATCTACATTTTATTTATTTAAGAACTTTGTTTTGTTTTCTTGGTTTTTATTTACCTATCTTGCTGTCCTGTCTTTCTCTGATCTTCCTCCAGAAAAACTCCTGCCTGCTTCCATCTTGTACACCTCACAAGTAACTTTTTAACCAGCAGATCAAATTGATCTATTGACCGCTAAAAAGCAGAGTGTACGCCGCGCTGCCCGGCTGCGCCAGTGACGAGCGCGAGCGCGTCCATACTTCATGCTCAAATCCAGACAGAACTTACCAGAGAGAAAATGAACGGACACGAATGACTGTGTGTTAATTATATATTTTTGCTGACGCCACTTAGAAATTTAGAAAATGTTACTGTGGCCGTGTGCAGAACACAGCTGGAGTTCATGAATAATCAGCGGTCTGCCTGCCGCTCTCTGCGTCTCTGCTCAAAAGAATCCCCGCTACGCTGAGTCCACATAAATAATATAATATGGGTAGAAACTGGATCTCTTTTGTGCTCCTTCTGGGTGTGTTAGTTAAGTGCATCAGGGGAGCCTGACATCATTTAAGGAGAACCAAGTTGCTCTCCTGTAATTTGAACCCAGTATCCAAGTCCGAATCGGGGCTTGGATCGGGAAGTAAAGCCCGAGTCCCGATCAGTCTGAAACCACGTGATCGGGGCCGATTTCCGATCATGTGATCGGATCGGGCCATCCCTAGTTTTAGTATCAGGTGAAGCAATGTAGCTGAAGCTATACTGCTCCACCTGTGAGAGTAAAACTGTTAGGTTTGTCTTCGGCACTCCGACATCAATTCTGATTGCTTTAGCCGGACAGGACACTGGGGGAAACAAAGTTGTACCATCTGGAGTCACATAAACACCAGGTTCAACGTAATACACGTAACAGCCCCATCTAGTGGACAACATATTTTTTGCACATACACGTAGTTATCGTCTATCGTTATCGAGGTAAACTTTTCAATATATTGTGATAATGATTTTAGGCCACATCGCTCAGCCCTATCTGCAACTATTCTGGAGGTTCATTACTTTACTTCCATTACATCTTCAGTTTTATCAGATGAATAAAATGAAACACGCTTTCTTAATGTCACAACAATTCGCATTTTCATTTATCTTTTAGCCTGTCCAGAACCCCCACAGCATCACGTGAGGGTAAATGAGGAGGATGTGACTGACCAGCAGCGCTGTAATCAGGAGACAACCTCCAATTTGGACCAGGAGGAACCAGAACATCCACTGATCAAAGAGGAACCGGAGGAACACTGCATCAGTCAGCATGAAGAGTTGTCCATTCTGAAGCAGGAAAAGTCTACCTTCATGGGGACTTTTTCTGAAGAATCAGACTGCTGGGAACCAGAACCAAACAGGAACCAACCCTTGTGTCAGGGTTCTACTGAAGCCGAGAACCAAGCTCAGGATGGATGCAGCAATGAAAACTCAAAATCAAACGGCGATGAAGAACTAAAACAAAATAAAAGATGTAAAAAAAACAAAGATCAGAGAGGTGAGAGGTCATTTTCATGTGAAATCTGTGGAAAATGCTTCTCTTTGGCTAGTAAATTGGCTGTTCACATGAGAAGTCACACAGGTGAAAAGCCCTATCCATGTGAAACGTGTGGTAAATGTTTCTCTCAGAGTGGTCACTTGGGTATTCACATGAGAACTCACACAGGTGAAAAGCCATATTCATGTGAAACGTGTGGTAGATGTTTCTCTCGGAGTAGTGAGTTAACATTTCACATAAGAACTCACACGGGTGAGAAACCGTATCCATGTGAGGTTTGTGGTAAATGTTTCTCCCAGAGTAGTAAACTGACAGATCACATGAGAACTCACACAGGTGAGAAGCCCTACCCATGTGATTTTTGTGGTAAATGTTTCTCTCGAAGTGGTCAATTGACTGTTCACCTGAGAACTCACACAGGTGAGAAGCCATATCCATGTGAAACGTGCGGCAGGTGTTTTGCTCAGAGAGGTTCCTTGACCAAACACATGACGACTCACAAAGACGAGAAGTCTTTTCTATGTTTGATCTGTGGAAAGAGATTCAGCCAGTTATCATCTTTTACTTCGCACATGAAGCTTCACATTTAAGAATTTATTCATGAAATGTTTTGGTAGATTGGTGCTGCGTCTGCAGAGATGCGGGCGTTGTACCGGTCTGTTGTGGTGAAAACAGCTGAGCCGGAAGGCAAAGCTCTCAATTTACCGGCTGATCTACAATCCTACCCTCACCTATGGTCACGAGCTTTGGGCAGTGACCGAAAGAACGAGATCACAGATACAAGCGGCCAAAATGAGCTTTCTCCACAGGGTGGCTGGGCCCTCCCTTACAGATAGGGTGAGAAGCTCGATCATGCGGGTGGGGCTTGGAATAGACCCGCTCCTCCTCCACGTCAAGAGGAGCCAGTTGAGGTGGCTCAGGCATCTGATTAGGATGCCTTCCTGATGAGGTTTTCTGGGCACGTCCAATCATAAGAACCCAGGACACGTTAGAGGGACTGCGTCCCTCAGCTGGCCAGGGAACGCCTTGGGATTCCCCCAGAGGAGCTGGCCCAAGTAGCTGGGGAACGTCTGGGCCTCCCTGCGTAGGCAACTCAACACATGAGAGTTCACACAGCTAAGAAGATGTAAACATTCTCAGACAATGGGAAGGAATGAAACTCAGTTGAAAATATTTTGTAATTCATCATCATAAAACTGTCCCGGAACAGTTAAGTCTGAAAAAGACAAAAACAAATTTGCTGCTGTTTGTCGTAAAGTCAGTCATCCACCCAGGTTGGGTTGCAGGAGTAGCAGCCTTAGCAGAGAGGCCCAGACTTTCCTCTCCCCAGCCACTTGGGCCAGCTCTTCTGGGGGAATCCTAAGGTGTTCCCAGGCCAGGTGAGAAACATAGTCCCTCTAGCATTCCCTGGGTTTTCCTTTAAGTCTCCTCCTGGTTGGACATGTCCAAAACACTTCACAATAAATCTGTGTAGGAGGCATCTGAACCAGATTCCCAATTCACATGAATTGGCTCCATTCAATGTGGCGGAACAGCAGATCTACTTTTGGCCCTCTCCTGAATGACTGAGCTTCTCATCCTATCTCTAATGGGCCATTCCCATCTGTACTGGGTCGGCCCGGGCCGGGTAGCGTAGGTTGTTTACATATCTGGGTGGCCTGGTATTTTTCCGGGCCAACCAAGGCTCATTCTCAGCCCTCTTCTCGAGGGGGTCCGCTTCAGGCCGACCAGGGCCAACACACCCACTGCTGACAGCAAATTCACACCTTCCATTAGAGCAAGCCTCTGATTGGTGGGTAGAATCAGCCCACATAGGCTTAAGGCAAGGATGTGTGGAGTCAACCGGGCCAGCCCGGGCCGACCCGGTACAGATGGGAATGGCCCGTTAGAGAGAGCCCAGCCACCCTCCGGAGAAAACTCTGTTTGGCAGCTTGTATCAGCAATCTGGTTCTTCTGGTCGCTACCCCAAAGCTTAGGACCACAAATGGGTGTTAGAATGTAGACTGAGCACATCCTGTTGCTTAACCTAGACCTGATCAACTGCAGCAACCCCAGATCATAGCACTGCCCCCACAGGCTTGTACAGTAGGCACTAAGCCTGATGGGTGCATCACATCATCTGCTTCTTTTCTTACCCTGATGCACCATCACTCTGGAACAGGGTCCATCTGGACTCATCAGACCAGTTTTTAATAAAGTGTTGGACAGTTCTTAACCCAGTTTTAGTCGTTTCTGCAACCTCCTTGGATGTTGTCTCTGCTTGATGCATGCCAATGATCTGACCCTCCTCAAACAGACTAACATCCATGACCACCAGGTGTGTCTTTCCACATGGTTGTTTAAGAAATGAGAAGCAGCTCATTGCACCAGTTGGGGTTACATAACTTGTTTCCAGCTGAAAGATAATCACCCATGCAGTAATTATCCAATAGGAGGCTTGTACCTATTTGCTTAGTTAAAACCAGGTGGCGACTTTTTTTGGGCCGGGTAGTATATAACATGGCCAAAAACTGAACTCTACACACATATTTTGCACGATATAGGCTCTTTAAGCTCCTCCACTTAAGGCAGGACCAAAACCCTGACCCAGAGAAGAAAATGTATTTCTTTCAAGCTGAAGACCATGGGCTTCCCAGCTGTGTCACACTCGGCTGCAAACTGCTCAAACTAACAATGTAGATCAGGTTCTGATGAAGACAACATGTCTTCATCAGAACCTGTTGGTCCTGTATGACTACGTCATCTGCATGAAGCAGACCAAACTCTGGCACTGATTGTACAGGTACTTATCTGCCCATATCAAGGGGCCTGGTAACCCATACTGCTGGAGTACCCTCACAGGATTCACTGAGGGACCCATCTTCAAGTTCACAAAACACATCCTATCCCATCCTGTTGGACCCTGCAAAGGTTTTAGAGCTGGCCCAGTGTTCCACAGCCAAACCCCTGAATTGACTATACCAGGGAAGCATAGGATTGTGATCCCTCTATAGCAGAACACACACTTAGGTCCCCCTTTTTAATAGGGGAGAAATGTCTCCAGTCTGCAAATTCAGTGAAACTGCTGGCGGTTTCAGCGCAATATTGCAGAGCCATGTAAACCAACGAATACCTACAACATCCATAGCCTTATGGAACTCCAGGCAAATTTCATCCATCCCTGGGGCTCTACAACAGAGAAGCACTTTGACTGACTCTGTGATCTCAGCACCAGAGATTGAAGTGAATGTTCCACAATCCACAATTCATCTCAATTTATTTATATAGCACCAAATCACGACAAGCGTCGTCTCAAGGCACTTCACATAATAAACATTCCAACAAGTCCTTCAATCTGTTGGTCCATGCCTGGAGCCTCCGCAGTCTCCTCCATGATGGCAGCAGACTAAGATCGGTGTGTGGAATCACCTGCAATGGTGAGGGCTTTGCGGGTAAGACAACTGTTGTAGATGTCTTGAAGAGAAGGGAGACACCAACAATCCTCTCAACCGCATTCACTATGCGCTGGAGTGACTCAGCAGGATGCGTTACAAATCCCATACCACACAATGATGCAGTAGGTTAATATGCTCTCAACGGTGCCTCTGTAGAAAGTACCCATGATGGAGGCCAGGGCTCTGGCTTTCTTCAGTTTGAGGAGAAAGGAGACGCTGTTGTGCTTTCTTGGCTAATGCCACAGAGTTTTTAGTCCAGGAGAGGTCCTCTGCATTATGCACTCTCAGAAACTTGTTGCTATCCTCTCCACAGTTTCACCAATGATGGTCAGAACAAGCATGCTGGGTAAGTACTCTTCTGAATGTGGCAAGGTGGAGAAACGAGGGCCTGGGTGGGATTCGATCCCCAGACTCCCGGGTGAGAGTCATGCGCGCTAACCAGTCAGCCAAAGGGACATCCCCTTGGCCAAGTAGCCAGGGCGCATGATCAATCAGGGCACTGTGACAGGACGCTCACACTGCCACATGAAGTTAACAACAAATTTGTCTTCTCCACATTCAGATGGAAATTGTTGTCACTGCACCACTCCGTCAGGCGGCTCACCTCTCTCCTGTAATCTGTCTTGTCTCTATTACTGATGAGACCCATCACAGTTGTGCAATCTACAAACTTAATGAAAAAGTTAGAGTCGTGATGAAATACTGTCGTGGGTCAGCAGAGTAAAGAGGAGGGGGCTCAACACACATCCTTGAGGGACCGCAGTGATAAGAGGCTCCTAATCAAGGGAGGGGGAGGGCCTTGCAAGCTCATCTCTGAGTGGTGTAAGCCAAGTCCAGAGTGTTTTCTCCTCTTGTTGGGAAGTCTATGTGTCGGCATACACACCGACACACTCTTTAGGTCTGCATGGTTGAATTCCCCAGCCAGAATGAGAAAAGCATTGGGGTGGGCTGTCTTTTGCTCACTAGTGAGCTGATACAGCTTGTTTAGTGCCTTGCTCCTATTTTTATTATTGGAGCTGGAAGGAATATATACAGCAAAGAGCAGTATAGCTGCGTATTCCCTCACCAGATAGAATGGCCATCACTTACTGATCATGCACTCCACTAAGGGTGAGCAGTGTTTACAGACCACAACAGCATCATGACACCATGCATCGTTGATGTAAACACAAAGCCCTCCGCCACGGGTCTTACCTGCTCCTGCTGAAACAGCTCATCTTAGGGTCTCTAATGACCTTCTGACTCAGTGATGAAGGGGACTGTTCTGTTCTGGTCCTGCTGGACCTGGCTGCAGCCTTTGACGCTGTTGACGATCACCTCCTACTGGAGAGACTGTGTAAGCCTTTCAGGATCTGCTCTGGAATGGTTCTCTTTGTATCCGTCTGATCGTTCCTTTTCTGTGGCCGTCTCCAAGTTTAGGTCCTCCACCACCTCCCTCACTCATGGTGTCCAACAAGGTTCTGTGCTGGGCCCCCTACTCTTCCTTCTCTATCTGCTTCCTCTTCAGCACAACCTGAGCTCCTTTAAAGAAATCTCCTACCATCTTTATGCAGATGAAATCCAACTGTACATCTCCTTTAAGCCCCATGAGATTTCTAAGCTGCAGCTGTTATGCTCCTGCTTAGACTCTATCAAAACCTGGATGACTGGGAGCTTTCTGCAGCTGAATGAAGATAAGACTGACATCCTCATCTGTGCCCCAGACAAACTGATTCCCAAAGTCAGAGACTCTTGGTCAGCTTTCTTCTCACACCAAACCCTCTGTCAGGAATTTTGTTGTGACCTTTGCAGAGGTCACCACTGGCCACTAGGGTGTGCTGCGATCAAGCCTCGAGGGAAAAAGGTGCATTCAGGGATGTGCCTGAAGTCACGTACAGGTGACTATCCACCGCAGGGACATGCCTGAAGTCACGTACATGCGACTATCCCTCACTGTACATACTGCTGCTTCTCATTTGGATTGCTGCCGCTCAACCATCACACTGCTGTCTATCCATGCTACTGTTTGACTTGTAAGTCTTCACCTGCTTGTTAAGCTAATGAAATGGCCACATTGTCAGTATGCACGCTAAGCGGCGCAGCATTTATTTACCCATTTTATCGCATTGCTTAGCTTTGGTCTTCAGCCCATGCTGCTGCTTCACGCTGCCGTTAGCTTCTGCTCACTCAGCTTTGTATGTCGCCGCAGGGCTCCTTCATCCTTGTCAATTTATTTTATTTATTTTATTTATTTATTTATCTCAAACCATCGAAAACATGAAATTGCATATGCACTCCCCCATATTCCTGGTGCATACAAAATTTTTTTTTTTTTTAAATGAGGAATACGATAAACATATGCTGTTGAATGAAACAATACAAAACATACAATAACATAAAACCATTTGAGAGGGAACTGGAAGAAGCAAAAGCTTATCTAGTCCAGCCCCAATAAAACCATTTGACATGGAGGAGTGTATTTCTTCATGACCCAACTCTCACCTCTGGATTCTCATGTCAGTTCTCTTGTTCGCTCTTCCTTCTTTCATCTCAGGAACATTGCTGAGTCCCATTCTATCCTGCTCTGAACTTGAGACCGTTATCCACACCTTCATCTCCTCACGCTTAGACTACTGTAACTCTCTTTTCACGTGTCTGAGTAAAACCTCTCTGAACCGTCTACAGGTGGTTCAGAACGCCTGTGCTCGGCTTCTGACCAAGTCCTCCAAACACACCCACATCACCCCGCTTCTCCTCCAGCTTCACTGGCTGCCAGTCAACTTCAGGGTTCATTTCAAGATCCTGGTTCTGGTCTATAGGGCCTTACATGGACAAGCACCATCTTACATTGGTGATCATCTTAGTCCCTACACCCCCAGCAGGTCCCTGAGGTCCAGTGATCAAAGCCTACTGGTTGTGCAGCACCAGGCTAAAGACCAAAGGTGACAGATCATTTGCTGCTGTGGCCCCCAGACTCTGGACCTTTCTCCCCCTGAGCCTGAGATCAGTGGACTCCTTTAAAAAGCAGCTGAAAACTCGCCTGTTCAAGCTGGTTTTTGTGTGACCTTCATCACCACCCTCTTCTTATTTTGCTCTTTCTACCTTTTCCGCCTTTCTCCGCGATCCACTTATTTCCCTGTTTCCTATTCATGTTTTATCTCCCATTCCTTACATAATTATTTTTTAAACACAATTTTTTTTCTCATTTTAAACACATTTCTAACCAATTTTTGAAATCTTTTTATACTTTAATAGTTTTTTTTTTGCTTTTTATTTTTGTTGTGAAGTGCCTCGTGATTTCTATCTTGAGAAGCACTATATAAAAGATCGTTTTCTTTCATTCTTTCTCCAGTAAAAGTTCTGTCAGCTCAATAGCATGTTAGCTGGTTGAGCTGAATGGCACAGTCTGGTATGAAGCTGGTAAGCCAGGGTTAGGGTCTTGCCCAAGGACACAATGATCATGAACTCCACTAAGGGTGAACAGTGTTTACAGACCCAAGGACACAGTGACAGTGACAAACTGAGTGATTACGGAGCGAGTACGTAACTCCTGTGCCACCGTCACCCATAACATTAACATACTTTTAAGTTTTATACATGAGTCAAATTCCACAGATTTTGTAAAATTATGGTGAGCTATTAGAATAAAGAAAATGCAATAGTAATCAGAACAAGTTTGTTTTCTACTGATATTTTTCTTGTTTCAAGTAATTGGAGGTAGTTTGAGCTTCTTATGGTATTTTAAAGAGACTCTGCAGCTCTTTCATATTTTTAAATAATTTTCTTGAGCCAGTATGTGCTAAAATGACCTTTTACAAGGATAATGAAATGCTACCCAGCCCCTATTGCTCCCTGTAAACAGAATTTTCCACTTTCAACTTTGGAGTGCTGGTCCAGTCTGTTGAATGTGGAAAAAATGGAGCTGACATACCTGGTGCTGCAGTCTGGTTCCAGCACGTTTCCTGCGTGTTTTTAGATCATGAACACAGCTGATTTGATTAATTTAGTGATGAATCACTCCTGTAGATGCTAAAAAAGGCTGAGGAGACATTTCAGCTGTTAGTTTAAGGTGTTAAAAAGACGAACGCACAGCAAGGAGATAAGTTTCGCTTTCGGTTCTACAAAAGAACACTAGGAGGTGCTAAAAGCAAGCCTAAACTACCTAGTCTCCCTTTAACCCTCTCAGGCTCTAAATAAGTTTTGATAAAAGGATGAACAACCAAGTCCTTCAGGGGTACTTCTGAGTTAAAAGATGCTCATGAAATACGTATGTGGAGTAACCAGGTAGGTAGGTTTTAACGTTGCAAATCTGCAACGCCTGCCTCCAGAGGGTTAAGCTGAAATGAGAGCTTTAACTTGATGTTGTTTGTAGACTAATTTCATGTTTTAATTATTCATGTGAATTGTGTCAAAAGAAATAAAGACCCAGTTGATGCAAAGCTACTACATTGTTTCTTTGTGCATCCTTGTCACTACAGACCAGCAACACCAGGGTTCTGTTCATCACCCTTCCACTGTAATCATGAAGCAGCTTACAGGGAAATGTGGGGTTCAGGCTGAAAGCTTAATAGAATTACAGGGATTTCTTTGTTGTTAACATATTAAATAAGCTGCTTTTATTTATGTTCACATTACTTGGAGTAGACGCTGGCGCATTTTTGCAGCCGCTGCTCATTGGTGATTTGAACGTGATTTTATCGTGTTTTGCACTTTAATGGAGCACTAGATTGTAGTTTTCCTAAGTGGGTGCTATACTTTCTGCCTCCCTTGGATCCTGTTTGGTTGTCAATTTGTTGTTTGGGTGTACAAGCGGACTAAACCTACCTCTCACTCCTCCCGGCTCTTGACCCGCTGCTATCGGCCAGCTGCCCACTGCTGTTCATCATGTGGGCCTGCAAGTTATTTATCTGGCTGACCCTCCTCTGGACTGCCCTGTCCCTTCTCCGCCAACCTGGGGCAGCTCTGTTCCAGTACACGGCAGCTGATCTCCTCCTGCTACGCGGGCATCTCTCTGTTCCTCCGCCGGTAGCATTACAGCTCCACCCAGAGATCGTCCTTCCTGCCCGCCGGAGATACATCCATCACGCTGCTCTATCGCGAGAAGTGGAAGGTGCTGCCTGTCTCCACTCGTGCCTTCAGCTCCATGGAATCTTCTGTTTTTCAAATACCCGGTCCCACTCCTACAGTTATTGCCCTGATCTACCGCCCACCCAAGCCCAATAGTAACTTTTTAAATGACTTCTCCTCATTACTCACCCAGCTCATTACCCTTTCCCCCAATGTCATTCTGCTTGGTGATATAAATATTCATATGGACAACTTGAACCACCCCCTCACCAGAGACCTCCTCCTGCTTCAACAGCTTCCTTTTTCAAACATATTCTAATTTTCCCATGCACATTAAAGGTCACTCTCTAGATCTAAACTGCTGCTCTGGTTTAACCCCATCTAACTGTCCTGCTAATGATGTCCATATATCTGATCACTTTTTTCTGTCATTCAACATCCCCCTCTGGTCTTTAAGAACTAAGCCTATCCGTCACATCTCATTCCGTAATATCAAAAACATTAACCCAGATACCCTGTCACCTATTATTAACACTATATCCATCCCGAGTTCTGCTTCTCCTGACCATCTTGTTTCTCATTATAACTCCACACTCAACAATATCTTGGATTCTCTTGCCCCAGTCAAAACTCTCTCCGTGTCCTTTACTCACTCTGCCCCCTGGTTTACCCCTGAACTCCGATGGATGAAAGCCAAAGGACGTCAACTCGAACGCCTCCATAAACGAACTGGTCTTGCAATACACAAAGAAATGCACAAAACTCATCTGCTTCAATACTTGAACTCTATTAAACATACAAAATCTGCTTTCTACTCTGGATTGGTTTCCTCCAATGAAGGCATACACACACCCCACCTGTATTCAGCTGACTCATGTAACTCTTTAATAACCTTCTTTACTCAGAAAATTGCTTCCATACACCAGCAATTAATTCCAAGCTCTCCCCCTGAGATTCTTTCCCTCCACCTGCCATTTTGTTCCTTTCTTATTCCCACCTCATCCGAAATATCTGATCTTATCTGTAAATCCAAGCCCACCACATGCTCTCTCGACCCCCTCCCTACAGTTTTGGTTAAAACATGTCTCACCTCCCTTCTCCCTCTCATAACCGCCATAATCCACTCCTCCCTCTCTACCGGTATTTTCCCCTCACTTTTCAAAACTGCATCTATTACTCCAATATTTAAAAAAACCTGGCACTGATCCCAATAATTTCAATAATCTTCGTCCACTCCATGCTCATCTCACCCTCAATAGCCTCTATGAGCCCTTCCAGTCTGGTTTTCGCCCTGGCCACAGTACAGAAACTGCACTCATAAAAATCACTAACGACCTCCTCACTACTGCCGATGCTGGACAGCTCTCCATCCTCATCCTCCTCGATTTGAGATCGGCCTTCGATACCATCTCTCACACCATCCTCCTCCGTAGATTGTCTTCCCTTGGCATTTCTCATAACCCGCTTGATTGGTTCCGTTCATATCTCTCTGGCCGTACTCAGTTTATTCAACTCAAATCCTTCACTCCCCGTCCCTTCCCTGTCACTACCAGCGTCCCCCAAGGCTCTGTTCTCGGTCCACTCCTTTTCGTCACTTACCTTCTTCCCCTGGGAAATATTTTCCGTAAATTTGACATCCATTTTCATTGTTACGCGGATGACACCCAGCTCTATGTATCCTCCAAACCCTCCTCTTCACTCCCTCCTTTCTCCCTCACCAATTGTTTATCTGAAATCAAAGACTGGTTCACATCAAACTTCCTCAAACTTTACAGTGATAAAACAGAAATGCTACTTGTCGGCACTAAATCCTTACTATCCAAAATCCACAGCTTTACACTTCCTGTCGACAACTCCTTAGTTTCCCCCTCCCCTCTGGTCAAGAGTCTGGGTGTCATCCTCGACTCCTCACTATCCTTCCAGTCCCACATAAACAATATTACCCGGTCTGCCTACTTCCATCTACATAACATTAACCGCCTACGCCCCTCCCTCACTACTCACTCAGTCGCCATCCTTGTCCACAGTCTCATCACTTCCCGTATTGACTACTGCAACTCTCTTCTCTACGGTCTTCCTCACAAATCCCTCCATAAACTCCAACTTCTCCAGAACTCGGCAGCCCGCATCATAACTAGAACTCCCTCCTTCCACCACATCACCCCTGTTCTTCAGCAGCTGTTCTTCTTTCTGTGCTAAAGTCCTAACAAATGAATCCATATCTAGGTCTAAAAGTAATTTCCCCCCCTCTCCTCAGCAGGAACTAGTCTGCATGAGATATTGTTCAAGGTCTCATGCTCTGCTTCTAAACTGTTTTCCTTTCCAGCCCAAGAGAAGAATGAAGACAAAGAACTCTTTATTTTTAATAAATCAAAGAACTCTATTTTTAATAAGCTAATCAAACAAAGTGTTAGTCAATAACAAAATGTGAACCAATTTGTGAAATGAAAATATTAATCACTTGATATTATAATCCTACAGAATATAATAAGTAATATAACTTTAAATGTTTCCACTAGGACTGATCTCACGTAGCGTTAAGAGACGACACGTTGTTTTACTGATCCAATCAGAATCTGCCAGATCTGACGGAGGCGTGGTTTTGGTGGTGCTTGGTAAATCTGTCATTTCATTCGACCATAAACCAAAACATCCGAAGTATAAAACTATGCCCACGTCATCTTTAACGCCAGTTCAAAGCGTTCTAGAGAAGTGTCGGAGTGGCCAATCCGTAACTTTACTCTTCAGCCAAAAGAACCAACGACAAGCTGGATAAAATCTGTTGCTGTTCCAACTGCTGCAACGGTTCCTTTCAGAATAAAAGTTGAACCAACACGACCCTGTTTTGGGTCTTGCTAGATGCCAATAAATTGTCGTGACCCGGAAGTATCTCAAGACTGGACTGGTCAGCGGCCGCGTCTGTGCTACGGGCTTTGGCTCCAGAAGGGTCCAAGCTGGACCTCTACACCTGCTGATCTAGACGGGGATTTCCGATAAGGGTATGTAGGCCGACAGAACTGCATCTTAATGTGTTTATGAATCTCCAAATCAAAGCTTAGCGCGAAGACATCACCTTCACTTCCCATCAGAACTAATCGTTTCTTCGGATTTGTTGGTTCTGAACAACATTCCACATTACACCATTCTCCGTCTCACTCACCTTAGTTACACCATACATTTAGTGTTTAAAGTTAGTCTAGTTTTAATTTGTTTAGTAATAAATCTTTAAACTTTTAAAACTCGACTCGACTCTCCTGTTGTCTCTGAGTGAATATGAAGTTGTTACATAATCCCTGCAATAAAAAGTTCCAATCTTCTGGTTAAACAGTACCCACAGATCCATAAGATTGATTTCATATTTCCTATGGAATCTCATGTCTTATGGTTCATTAAATAGATGTAAATTAACCCTTTACAGTGCGTTTACTTAATTTTTGAGGTTTGAAATTTCACAGTAAAATGAAAAACTAATGTTTTTGTGTCACCAGTACCTTTGTAATGTTTTTGGACTGGAGTTAAAACATTCTCACAGAAATATGACCTTATGAGAAACTATTTTTAATTGTCCTTTCTTTCACTGTGCTTTAATAATGCAAATGCAAAGATTTCACTGCAGGCCACCATAACATCTAAAAAAATTCCTCCACAATACCTGAACAAATTAAAGTTAAAAGAGGACTTCGATAGGAGTCTTGGAAATGAATGTAAGGGCTCAAAAAGATTTTAGAAAGCTACAGCTGAGTGTTATTAGTCTACTGCTCTTTTTATTTTCAGTCTTAATCTTGTGTGGCATTTTTCTGGTCCGATGTGTGCAAAACAGGAAGTCAACTTTTATTTTGAAAACATAAAAATGAAGGGCTAAAATGAATTTAGGGCTTAATCCTTATGTGGAAGATATCAAAATACATGTTTGAACAACTGGAACAAATTTATTTCATTTAAGTACATCTAGCCCTGTTGATTACTGATATAAAGTAAAAATGTCCACTTTCACCACATCTCAGTCTTAAACATCCCATAATTGCAGCTGTGAAACATTTGCCCTCATCTGGGTTTTCTGGTTCTGGACTCAAAGTGGATCCTCCGCCTCACAGCAGCTGGGAAGGATAGTTCACAAAACAACGAAACTCGTTGGACAGGTTTCTGTTGTGTTTGGGCAAAAAGCTGCACATTCTTACATCCAGCAGTTGTTTGGCGAGAACCTCCATGATGGCTCCTGCAGACACAAACAGAATGTTGATAAATGTCAAGAGATCTGACTTTTGCAAACACAAATGCTTGTCATCCCACCTGTGCACAGCAGCACTTTGCCTTTGCTCAGGTACTGGATGGTCTGGGCCACTTTTCTCAGGCACTCCTCAGACAGGTAGGGGGGGTCAGCGAGGACGATGTCGAAGCTCTGCTGGGCTACGCTGGGAGGTAGAGCCAGCGGCTCGTTGTAGTCGTAGAAGATGAAGTCCTCTCCATACGTGGCAAAGCGGCGGTCGTATTCGAACACAGAAGCACACACCCCGTCAGAACCAGCCATCACACCCTGCTTCAGCTTCTGGTACACACTGGGCGCGCACACACACGCTATCCTGAGAGGAAACACAAACGCTGAACCTGGGACAGGTGTGCTTATTATAGTTCTGCTTCCTCCTGGATTCTCCAGGTGGAATATTTTTATAAGGATGCTTGGATTTTCACTGAGTTTATTTTGTAGCGCTGATTGCCTGTAATAAAATACCTGAAAAACAACCAATTTGTGAGGGAATTCAATGTGCAAGATCAGCAAAATCAACAGGACAGCATAATTAAAATACACAAGTTTAGATCAAATTAAATTCAGATTAAAGGGTGAGCAGTTACAGTGCAGAGGGTGCAGCACAAGAAACGATCATTCATAGGCTAATGAATACATGAACATTTTCAATTATGATTTAAAGGTTACTATCCCAAACCCTAACTCTTCAAATTTGCTGATTTAAATGATTAACAGTAAAACAAATATCTCCTTGGGCTGCATTGTGTATTTACTCTTTCACTTGGTGATAAAAAAGTTGAATTTCAGGGTTAGATTATAAAGCTCCTCTGTCACCAGGACACTAGAGATGAGCAACAAGGACCTGCTAATATTTTTCAGTATACAGGGAGTGCAGCATTATTAGGCAAATGAGTATTTTGTCCACATCATCCTCTTCATGCATGTTGTCTTACTCCAAGCTGTATAGGCTCGAAAGCCTTCTACCAATTAAGCATATTAGGTGATGTGCATCTCTGTAATGAGAAGGGGTGTGGTCTAATGACATCAACACCCTATATCAGGTGTGCATAATTATTAAGCAACTTCCTTTCCTTTGGCAAAATGGGTCAAAAGAAGGACTTGACAGGCTCAGAAAGGTCAAAAATAGTCAGATATCTTGCAGAGGGATGCAGCGGTCTTAAAATTGCAAAGCTTCTGAAGCGTGATCATTAAACAATCAAGCGTTTCATTCAAAATAGTCAACAGGGTCGCAAGAAGCGTGTGGACAAACCAAGGCGCAAAATAACTGCCCATGAACTGAGAAAAGTCAAGCGTGCAGCTGCCAAGATGCCACTTGCCACCAGTTTGGCCATATTTCAGAGCTGCAACATCACTGGAGTGCCCAAAAGCACAAGGTGTGCAATACTCATAGACATGGCCAAGGTAAGAAAGGCTGAAAGACGACCACCACTGAACAAGACACACAAGCTGAAACGTCAAGACTGGGCCAAGAAATATCTCAAGATTGATTTTTCTAAGGTTATATGGACTGATGAAATGAGAGTGAGTCTTGATTAGCCAGATGGATGGGCCCGTGGCTGGATTGGTAAAGGGCAGAGAGCTCCAGTCCGACTCAGACGCCAGCAAGGTGGAGGTGGAGTACTGGTTTGGGCTGGTATCATCAAAGATGAGCTTGTGGGGCCTTTTCGGGTTGATGATGGAGTCGAGCTCAACTCCCAGTCCTACTGCCAGTTTCTGGAAGACACCTTCTTCAAGCAGTGGTACAGGAAGAAGTCTGCGTCCTTCAAGAAAAACATGATTTTCATGCAGGACAATGCTCCATCACACGCGTCCAAGTACTCCACAGCGTGGCTGGCAATAAATGGTATAAAAGAAGAAAAACTAATGACATGGCCTCCTTGTTCACCTGATCTGAACCCCATTGAGAACCTGTGGTCCATCAAATGTGAGATTTACGAGGAGGGAAAACAGTACACCTCTCTGAACAGTGTCTGGGAGGCTGTGGTTGCTGCTGCACGCAATGTTGATGGTGAACAGATCAAAACACTGACAGAATCCATGGATGGCAGGCTTTTGAGTGTGCTTGCAAAGAAAGGTGGCTATATTGGTCGCTGATTTGTTTTTGAATGTCAGAAATGTATATTTGTGAATATGGAGATGTTATATTGGTTTCACTGGTAAAAATAAATAATTGAAATGGGTATATATTTGTTTTTTGTTAAGTTGCCTAATTATGCACAGTAAGTCACCTGCACACACAGATATTGTATCCCCCTGAAATAGCTAAAACTAAAAACTACTTCCAATAACATTCAGCTTCAATATTAATGAGTTGTTTGGGTTCATTGAGAACATGGTTGTTGTTCAATAATAAAATTATTCCTCAAAATTACAACTTGCCTAATAATTCTGCACTCCCTGTAAAAACTTGATCCAAAGCCCCCCATAGAGCAGGTGTGCAAGTGCCATTCTGCAGGTTTTTACCTTCCGCCCTCTCCGGCCTCTCGCATGACCTCCTCTGCTAGCCGCGCAGCCGTGTCGTCACTGTACCAGAACTGGCTCATCCGCTGACAAACACACAGGTGTCAGCATGAACTCATCTGACTTCATCAGGGATGGTAAATACATAAAGAGTCAGATTTTCAAAATACAATGCAAACACCAGTAAAAGTTTTAATAATCATTATTGAGCTGATAAAATACCCTGTACAGTTAACTAAGTTAAAGAAAGCAGTGGGGAACCACTTCCACAGACCTGGGATCAGCCACACACATCCAGAGCTCTAGAGCCCAGTAAACCCACCCAGTCCTCCTCCACTGCTCCCACAGCAAACGGATCTGAGGGTGTTGCACTGTGATCCGGACTCGTCCTGGTCTCATTGTAGAACTCCTGCAGGGCAGCCAGGGTGTGAGCAGACAGGGTGGGAACATCATCATCATCACTGTTGCTCATGGCTACCAGGAGGAAGAGGAGGTGGAAATGAGCTTCTGCAGTAGCTGAACACCCAAAACATACAAAAAACAGAATAAACAAGAAGTAAGATTTATTAAAATCAATGATTTTTACTGCATTAAAATGTAAAACTCTGACACGTATAGAATTATTAATGTTTGACTGCTTATGACTTGAATTTGCAGGTTCAGGAAGAAAACATTCTGTTGTAAATGATTAAAAAACAAATAATCACTAAGCTATAAAATAATAACTGTTGTTTTTCATGTTTCATCTGACCGAACACTATCTTACATGTCTGTCATCTAGGAGTTATTTTATTTACACGATGAACCAATAAATGGCTTATTTTATCGGATTCTGAATAAATGCTTCCATAGACGGACGTGTTGCTGAGTGAAAAATCAGATACAAATCATTTCTAAACGTAAAAAAGTTAAAATACGCAACAATTTATCAACATACCTGAGAAAACCTCTGCCCGCTGTCAAAACACGTGAAGAGTCGCAGGAAGTTGACGTAATCTTCAAAACTACGGCTTCCGCGGTAGGACAAAAGAGCACATTTGTAAATAATCCTGCCGTGAATAATTAAACCCCCGGATTAGATGTTTGTTCGGTCACTTATTTGTTTTGCACTTTCTAACACGTTCAAGACACCGAAATGTGTGATACCATAAACACAGAAATGTAACGCGAAAATAAAATCTGAAATAAAACGCCCTCTAGCGGCTAGTTGGCAGAAGCCGAGCCTCTCAAGCCTCAACGTTCTATTTGTATTTATTTGTTTTGGAAGTTATTTACCAGTAAAATACGTCAAATTAAAAGCATACCTCTTCACAGAAAATAGAAAAAAGCAAGAAAATTATCTTTTATATAGCGTCTCTCAAGATAAAAATCATGAGGCGCTTCAGAAGAACAAAAAAAATCTAAATATACAATAAGAACATCTTAAGAAATTATTTAAAAATATGGTTAAAAATAGAAAAAATAATGAGAAAATGAAATACCATCTATCTATCCATCCATCCATGTGTAAAGTGCGTTACAAATAAAATCCACTATTATTATTAGTTATTTGAAAAGCTCTCCAGAGATTACCTAAAGATAAAACTCATCTTTAAATGCAGTATAAATGAGAGTTAAGATCTAACCCGTGTTTACGTGGAAATCTCTGGCAGTTTTAGGAATAAAAGCTCTAAATTCAGCCACAGATTAATCTCGTAGACACATCTGCACAATAAATTATCATTAAACATGAAACTTTAAAGCAGAGAAAAGACGACAGCAGACCAGACATGTAAAGAAATGTCAGAGTCGATAATATTTTATACAACAATTTTTATGTACACTTTTACACTTCAAGAACAAAACAGCCATCTAAAACCAGTGGGATGGGGCTCTAACAGGGAGGTCCGTCTCCAACATAATGCTTCAACAAGTGGCTCTGCTCCTTTTATTTGGTTTGTTATTGCTGTCCTTAAAACAGTCTCTGCTATATCCAGTGTTTGTTGAAGGGTTGTTCTGTCCATGTACTCCTGTAGAAAAATACTACTGAAATGCACCTGCTGCCCAACACAGGCCAGATTTGTGTCAGGCCTTTGAGTGAAGGCAGGTGGGGTTAAACACGAAAAAAAAAAAAACATAAAAAAAAAAGAAAAAAAAAAAAAAGAAAAGCTCAACACAGCAAAATTGCTCCCTCTTTAGTTGTATTGGTAAATTGTTGAACTTGCCTTCTACCGGCATTCTGAGTCATCCCTAAACAAACATTTCTGGAGGTTTCTGTCTGAAACAACAATTTTAACACTGTATATATGCATATTATATACACACACCATATAGGGAAACAATCTAATTTTGGTTTTCAACAAGCAAACACCCCCCCTGTGCTGTGCGGCTGGGACACCTCAGAGAGAGCCAGACACATCTGTTGTCATGGCAACTCCTTGTGCATGCATTTAGTGTGCATCTGCAGAAGTCCTGGTGAACGGCAGGCACAATGTTGTTTGTTCTTCGATTGCTGTATGACACGATTTATTCATACGCAACCAAACACAACAATCAGCTAAACAAAGGCACTCTGGGAAGGACAGGGGTGTGTGTGTGTGTGTGTTTCACAACACTGTCAAAAATAAATAAAAGGCCGCTGTGTTCATGTCAAATTACCACTACATCTTTATTAAAACTGTCATGATCAGGTGTAAAAGGAGGGGTCTGGAAACAAAAACGAACAAAACCCCGGGTGGAATCAGGCAAAAGTTCAGTCCAGTTCTGAGTCCGGTCCTTATTTCATACAGAGAAGGCCGCCCACGTTGGCCACAAACTCCTCTAGGCTCTTAAGGAAGGCTAGCTTCTGCTTCCGGTCCATGGTGGGCGGCGTGCTGCTGTCCGTTAGCTTGCTGAAGGCATCAGCAAGCCGCTGGTGGATGATGGCGTCCCTTTGAGAAGATAACAACGTTTCCACCAGCCCAGAGTACTCCGCCTGATGGAGCAGGAAGATCAAGTTTTAAATCAGGTGAACAACCTTTAGCCGTAAACTTCTGCCGACGTGGGACAAAAACCAAAAGCTAAAGTGAATCTTGTGACAAACGGCTTTGGTTAAAAACAGGTACATTGTTCACATTGTGTTTATAAATTTAAAGCATTTTAAACAAATCACACCGTCTTGTTTAGATGTCAACATGTTTATGACTCCGTACACGGAGCTTTAACTTTATAGCTAACGTCCCTGACTAACTGCTGCAGGGATCCTATCAGGTGATCCTTAACCCTCTGGGGTCCAGGGTATAATTAGCCATTTTTGACTAATTTAGAGTTTTCCATCGTATTTTCAAAATAAAAACCATAAGCACTGCCTTATGTGTTATCAATCTTTTCAGCACAACCTGGACTTTATGAATTTATACTTATTTTTTATATTTGGACATAAAGGGGTTGCATATTAGACCTAAAATCACTCAAAAACATAAAATCCGAATTGGAAAAAAGTTGTTTATTTTACTGTGAAACCAACAAACATTTATGACAAATGTTTTTTATAATTTAGAATGGTAATCTAGACTGTACATTTATAAAAAATATGAATACCGGGTACATATAGCAAATAACAAATGTTTACAAAAATTATTAGCCCTCTGGGGTCCAGGGTGTAAATCACCGTTTTTGACTCATTTTGGTTTTTCTTTTGTATTTTCTAATAAAAACAATAAATATTGCCTTATGGGGTATCTTTTTTTTTCAGGACAACCTGGACTATCTGAATTTATACTTATTTTATTAATTTGGCAATAATGTACATGCATTTTGGAGTGGGGAGTGGCTCTGTCTCACACCGAGATCTGACAGCTGCGCGGCTCCGCCCACTCCTCTTGTTGGATCTCTGAGGAGCTGCATCTCTACCTTCATCCTCTACCTCATCATGACCCAGCTCCTCTATGAGGAAGGATGGATCTGCCACATCATCAACATCCTCGCTATTTGCCTCAGACTCCGGCTGTGAGTCTCCGTCCACTTCCTCTGCTTCCAGTTCAAAAAACAGCCGTACTATCTGAACTGCCTGGTGGACATTTATCCTTCTCATCATCCTTTATATAAGCCTAATAAAAGCCTACTAAACTGCAGAGACAATATATCTGTCCGGATCGCTCCAAAATATGAAGTTTACCGTCAACATCTGTCTAATTGTTTGTTGTTACTCCGTTCGCACCACTCCTTTCCTCGCGAAGCGGCTTTTTGCGCACATCTCGTTACTCGTGCGGCCTTCCTCTCTCTCTCAGCTACATAATGATACTTTTTATCAATTGAATATGTGAGACTTCCACCAACAGCAAAAGGATCTCATGTGTTTGTGGGTTTTTTATGTTCACAAGCACATTCCCTCTCACGGATTACTAAACTGCTGTTTTGACAAGTTATCAGATTGTCTAAAAATAGGTCGTTTTTTAGTTTAGTATAACCCCGCTTTTGCCTATTAACAAAATTTAAAAACTGGGGTGTAGTTTATAATCTCCTTTTTAAAGCTGAATTGAAACCAAAACTCAGGGAGGCGGAGTCTTGCTGCTACAGCGTCCCAAATCAGACCTGTTCAAAAGACGCGGATACACGTCTGTGGACCCCAGAGGGTTAAACGTAGAAAACATCCTCAGATTAAGACGTTACAAATATTTATTCTGCTAAGAGAACACAGATCAGTCCAGACAAAAGCAAACATCAAGTATTTCTTATTTCATCATCCAACTGAAATTCTTTAGGATCGGCTACGGTATTACCGTATACACGCGGTATTACAAAATAGCGACTGTGTCAGTTCCAATACCGTCATGAAAAACAGCTGTGCGACTGACCAGTTCCTCTATCCTCTCCATACTCCAGCTCTGCAGGGAGAGCGTGTTGGCTGTGTCAGAAAACGACCTCCAGCTTACAAAGTCAATAAAAACCACAATTCTAAAAAAGCTGGAGGCCAAGTATGAATCTGATTCAGTGCGCAAATTAATGCGAAAATGCACTTTCCTCGATCCTCGTTACCGTGGCAGATATGAGCTTGATGACAACGCACTGGCTGAAATCAAAGCTGGATTACAGGCTGAGATCGTGAGCTTAGAGGGGCAAACAGCACCAAAAGCAGTGGCCATCCGAACCATAGAGGAACGAGCACAACCTGAACCCCCACGCAAAAAGATGTCTCTGGGGGCTCTCCTGCAAAAACGAGCCGCTGACGCTGCGCCGGAGGGTCCCGTCAGCGCAGAGCAACGAGCTGGAGCTGAAATAACAGCGTACTGTTTGGAACCTGTTATTCATGGGGACGAAGACCCTCTTCTCTGGTGGAAATATGCTGGCAGTCATTTTCCCCAGACGTCACGACTGGCCCGGAGGTATCTATGTATTTGTGCCACCAGCTCACCATCGGAGCGGGTTTTCAGCACCGCAGGTAAAGTTGTTGGTCCACAATGATGCTAACTTGAACCCAGAAAAAGTAAACATGCTGGTTTTTCTGGCGAGAAATCTTAACTAGATTTGCTGCAACGTGCTGTAATGTTCACACTCCTGTGTGTGTGTGTGTGTGTGTGCGTGCGCACGCGTGTGGCCGTGTGACGGAGTTTTCTTTTTATAATTTTAATGCAGTTGTTTTGGTTGCAATACTTTTTATAATTTCAATGATTATGGTTATTCAACGCTTGTTGACTGTTACGGCTTATTTGCACTGTTTCACGCTGCTCGTTGATAAGTTGTTCACTTGATTTGCGCACAACAGCTGTCCTGGGTTTTTACGTTGATTTATTGCTGTTGGACTGTTGACTCTTTGCACTTGTTTATAAGCTGCGTTTTTTGTGTTAATAAATGTTGTTAATAGTATGTGAGTTGCGTTGTTATTTTTTTTAGTAATTGTTTGGTATTCGGATTCAGAAAGGTGAAGGTCCACTTGAGGCTTACGTCATACTTTTTAAGTATTCACGGTAATACCGTATACCGGGGTAAAATTAAGTGGAAGTTAGACGATATTCAAATATGGATACCGCCCAAGCCTGGTTCACACATAGGAAGCCCCCAGAGAACGCGTAAACCCAGCAGAAGGGCGTACAACGGGACCAGCCTGGGTCTGCTACCCACCTGATGAAGGCACACGAGTGTGTAGAGGGCTTCTCCTGCTGCCACCGTCATCTCCGTGTTGTGTTTCTGCAGGACCAGCATGTCAAACACCAACTAGACACACAAGAGCCAGCCAGAACAAACATTTAAAACCCACTCGCCAATTAACACGTCGTGTTTTTAAACGCAGAAAAAACCCCAGCATCAGGTTAATCTACTGAATCAAAATGTCTCCAGGTAACAGAACAGGTGACTCATGGAGCAGGTGTGAGGGCTACCTTGAGGAAGTGGCGGGTGGCGATGAAGAGGGGGGAGTCCTTCTCCTGGTTTTTGGCACACTGCTCAGCCAGAGGAGACAGCGCCTCCAAACACAGCTGGCTGATCTCTGAACTCATTCTGAGGACAAACGTTAAGGAGCTCCAACCACAACAATGACCCCAGAAGAACCAGCTGCTCTTCACAGGGTGGGGGTCAAGAGACTAGACACCCTGGATCTCTAAACAACAGGAGGAATAAAACCCTGAATCGAGCAGAGAGAGAGGATACGAGGTCATTCCTAGCTCCAGTGAGAACATGAGGCTCTTAAAAAGGTCTTCTGGCAGCTGTGGGATCTTCTCAGGGAAGATCTCACAGATGAAGGTGATGAGCTTGTAGTACTGGTTACACAGGGAGGGGAACTGGAGCATGAAGAGCACAGGGTCAGTTTAACACGGTACTGCTGCTGACTGAAAGCAGAGCTCACCTGTTAGGTGTTGGTTTACCTTCAGCAGGTCCTGAGACATGAGGGGAAGAACGATGTTGACTCCATAAAGAACAACATCGGCTGCAGAGACGGTCCGATTTGACGCTGGCGCTCCCTGTTCCTGATTTCTAAACACCTCGTCTTGAACACAGAGCAGTTTGGGCCGAGAATCAGAATCACAGCTTTATGAAATCCTTCCAAAGGCAAAGGAAACTCACCGTTGTCACTGAAGTCTATGAACTCTTTGGACAGCAGGTTAGTGAGCAGCTCCATGATGAGCAGCAGGTCCTGGTACTGGTCCTCCTCGGCCGTGGCGTCGCTCCGCTTCCTGCCCTGGTTGTTTTTGGAGTAGACCTGCAGCAGGGTCAGACACGCTTCATACAGCTTCATGGACCTGGTCTGAAACACAGAAAGCTTCTGTATTTAGACGCAAACATCATGGTCGGGGTAAGCGCTTCGGCGGCCTCGCTCACCTCTCCCAGGTAGCAGATCTGCTTGTGAGCCACTTCCACAAAAACCTCAATGATGAGGTTGATCGTCTGTGGTGTGTTGCTGTAAACCTGGGAGGCACAAACACAAGCCAGCTTCACTTTAATACTCATTATAAAGCTCTAATCCAGCTCCATCTCCGACACCTAAATCCCACAGACCCAACCAGAAGCTCCGGTTCTGTCTCACCTCCATCAGGCCGATGCAGCTGGACAGGAAGTCCATGAGGAAAGAGAAGAGAGACGCCACGTTGTCTATCTGCGTGGCCTCGGCGATGCCGCACAGTGCCTCCAACGTCGCGACAATTTCCTGTTTGACAGCTTCTTCCTGGCTGATCTGAGCAAAGTTCTCCTGGTTGATGAGGTTGAGAAAACGCTGCTGGAGCGGGTGAAGCACCTGGACACGTGGGCGGAGTCTTCATCAGTGAAACCGCTGTTATGATGGACCGTTTTAACAAAGGCTGCTGCTCTTCCTCCTCGTCTGCGCTCAGACTCAACATGAACTTGATGCTAAGAACGAGTTCGGCGCGTTCCTGGTTTACAGCCAGAGCCAATCAGGACAGAGACGGGATCTCCTAACAGAACGTGCAGCGGCGTGCCTCTAAACTAACCGTCCACATGCATGAGTGAGTTACCTCTGCCCAGTATTGCTGCTTGGTGTCAGAGTCCATGTTGGCGAAGCCCCCCAGCACCAGAGCTTTCATCAGGGACCTCTGCACGGAGCTGGACAGCAGGTGGAGGGGCGGGCTGCGGCTGGCGAACTGCTTCGCCAGGTTCCACCAGCTCTCACACTGCACCACGATGTTGGCTCTGATCAAACGAGGAGGCAGAGTGTGTCGGTCTCATGTGAAACACACCCAACACTGCACCGGCAGACCCAACCCTCACCTCTCCCTCTTCTCCACCAGCGTCACCAACAGTTCCACCGTGTCGTTAGTCAGCGCCGTCTCCGAGCTCCACACCGACAGGTTGTTGATCACCTTCTCCAGCAGATATCCCACAATCCACTGGGCGCCCTCTGTGTCAGCACCAAATGCTGTGCTTAAGGGCATGCTGATCTGGACGGCAACAGAAAAGATGAGGATTAATAATTGGAAGACAAACAGGGTACCTGCAGGTTTAAGGGAGCCAAATTTAAGACTTTTTAAGACCCTTTTTTAAGGCCACTTTGACCAAATTTAAGCTATTTTTAAAATTAAATTTAAGCTATAATTTACAGCTATTGCCTGGAAACGGTGCTAACCACGTCGCAAACGTGGGATTAGCCATCCAGTTACCATTAAACTTGCACTTCCCCATGGCGCAAGCTCCCACTAGCTTAACCAGCTAATGTGCTCATCTAAAAATAGCCCCCTTTCACAACCAGCTGAATGTGTACGGTTCCGCTTACGCCAACATCATACACAAAAAATGCTGAACACTAACTAGAAATTCACGAAAATTTTATAGAAATGAAAGCATCTTGTTTATTGGGTCTTTGGTAATTTAAGACCTTTGGAAACTGTATTTAAGGATTATTTGTCATTTTTAAGGATTTTCAAGGCCTTAAATTTGGAAAAGCTAAATTAAGACTTTTTAAGACTTTAAGGACCCGCGGATACCCTGGACAAATGTCTCACCTGAACTGTCCCGGCTGTATCTCACGACGCTGCGGTGGGAACGTACCTGCTCGTAGAGCTTCTCATCCAACAGCAGGTACGTCTTGGCCCATCGTCTGAGGAACCACACGATGTCCTTTCCCATCTGCGGACTCAGAAGCTCCGTCAGGCTTGCTCTGGTTGCCCTGGACTCGACCTCCGATGTCCTCAACACTGCAGACAGCAGCCTGGGACAAATAAAGCACAAAACTAAAAACACAGCCGGGTTGTTCAACAAACCAGATTATAGGTAATCCATCTGTGACAGATTTTATATTTTGTTTTCATACATTTGAAACTAAATCGAGAACCACAACAAAAGTCCAGAGGAATGTTTAAGCGAAGGCCACCAGTGGAAGTTCATCTCAGCCCCGCGTTAAACCAACGACCTCTTCCAGCGCAGACCCACAGGCGGTCGGTAAAAGGACAGAAAAGACGGAGAGCTTAGAGCAGCTTACGGCTCCATCCTTCTCACCCGGAGACCGTGCAAAGTTTCACATTGTCTGCAGAAAACAAAACCACGCTGGCATTTACGGGCCGAGGTCGGACGCTCGTTATTAGGAAACCTGATGCCGGCAGCCACTCGCCTCCGCAATCCTCTGTCATCACCGTCATCTCCCCCCCACACACACACACACACAGATGCACACACACACCTATATAATGAACAATCACCGGGGCACGATGACCTTCAGCAGACATTCAACTGGCTGTTTGCGGGTTTCTGTTGACCGAGTACGAGAGGAGCATCCAGAACGACCTCCAAAGTCCAGAACATCACAGATTTTAGGCACCAGAGCAAAAAATAAACCTGGATGGTTCCAGAAATTTAAGATCTACTTTGTGGGCTTGGTTAAATTTAAAGGGACTTTACGGACTTTTGAATTTTTATGCTCGCGATTGCCCCTTCAGGCCAAAAGTGTAACGGCAGCTTCAATGGTAGGCTCGTGCACGAGGCGCGCATGCTGTACGTGCACACTCCTTAACGAAAATAACAGCTGAGACAGTCCCTTGTATGTGTGTGTGTGTGTGTGTGTGTCCTGGAGGACAGAGGACAGGAGAACACGCAGCTAATTAATTAAATAATTTGGTTCTGTACCTTTCTCTTCAGCACAGCCGACAAAGGTTTATGATGGGTCAGTCGTCCTGCATGCTCAGATCATTCCCTTCCCTTGCTTGAAAAATTGTTCCAAAATGAAAGTTGAACCCACATCTTTTTTATCTGTGAATTCAATGCCGTTCGGCGAGTCTCAAATCAAAATTTGGGCATCTTAATGTAAAAAAAAATACCATTAATGTAAAAAAGAAACTCTAAATTAACTATGTTCACACCCAAAATCGAACCCAGGTCTTCTGCACAAGAGTCCGACATCTTCCTAGGTGAGCTAAAGCGCCAGTGACATATTTTATATCTGTAACATTTATATCCTTGATGACAGCTGAAACAACGTTCAAAGAACGGTTCGGAGCGAAAATGGCTATTTTGTTGCTAATTTGCAGGAAATATCTAGAAGAAAGTTCTACAGAAAGTAGCTAAGGGTCCTCAGAAATGTAGCTAGGTTTGTCACTAGGCGTTAGGAACAGCAACAAAGTGGCACTACCTCTCTCTCTGCTGCTAAAGCTACGGATAGCAAATGCTACGGGCTATGCCTGAGCGTGAACGCGCATGAAGCAGCCTGCTCGACCCGAGCAGCTCTCTTTTTCTGTGATTTTACAGAAAAACAGGCAATCACAGTAAAAATGCCAGGGCTCATTCTACAGGACCAGGGCATTGCAGGAGAATGTATGAAGACATTTATTATTTCTATACATGTTTTGGCTGTCAAACTTCCATAATGTCACTTTAATAATGTGAGTATTTTTAGTGTGGAGCTTTCACTAAACATGGAAAACAAGTGAATTTGCCCACTGTGGGATGAATAAAGTCTATTCTACGATAACGTTTCGGGTTACTTCATCACAAGGCCTGATAACGTCTGAACAGCTGCAGATGCGTTTGCTATTCACTTCCTGCTAAAGCAGACAGACAATTACTGCGCGGGGTACAAAATGCTTTTTTCTCACTTATCGAACTCTGGGGAATAAGGCAACGGACAAAACTTCACTTAGGGGTGGAACAAACGCATCACATATGTGAGGATGAAATCATCATTCAAATAATCTGGCCCTTCTGGGATAATTTTACAAATTAAAATAAAGAGGTAATAATAAAAACATACAAACAGAATAAATCAGTTCATGTATAATAGAGATGCTGTTTGATCAGAAGGATAACTTGTTATTGAGTGTCATGGCTAATTTAAATAGTGTGAATACATAGAATAATATGCTTCTAAAGATTAATGGAAAGTCCACCGGCTAGCTCCGATCAGCAACAACGTCTGTGTGAGGAGCTTTTTGGGAATCAGGAGGGATGAGCTCCGATAAGAAAGGAACTCTGAATACAAACGAGCTGTAGTCCTGGTTTAGGAGGCTTGTTGGTTAAAAACGGAGTCAGCAAATGAGTGAGTAGACTGTTGTATTAGCCAACAGCGGTAGTGAAGCCCAGCCCAGCAGAACCAGTACCTGATGACCGAGTCTGTGCGGTTGCAGCCCGGTATGGAGGAGGCCTTCTCCCCCGGTGAGCCGAGGATCTGTAGCGTTGTGTTGATGTCCACCTCTGTGGCGTGTTTAATGGAGAACTCCATCACCTCAGAGGGGACCAGAGGGGTCTCACCCTGAGGGTCGTATGCCAGCAGATAGCCTAGACATACACACACACACACACACACACACACACACACACACACACACGCACACGCACACGCACACGCACACGCACAAAATGAATTTCTTATTTTTGAACATGTGATCTCCCCTCTCTCATCTAGAATGTAAACGTTTATCATGTCCTGCTGCTTGTTGTGTTGGTGTGTAAAACCAACATTAGAGTGGTTTATTAGGGCGGCACAGCCAGTCTAGAGAGGGAGGTCATGGTGAGAGATCCTCCCCGTCGTGTTTTTTAACGATGCGGTCACTGTTTCACAGACCTGGGTGGAGTTTCTGCTTTCTGTTCGTGTTACAAATAAAGTTTAATCAACGGTCTGGAAAGTTCCTTATGAGCACAATAAAAACATTACTATTGTTTTCGTTTAGTCACACAACTCCTTGTTAAATCAGTTTATGACACACACACACACACAACCCGGTTAAGTCAAACACAAAGTCTGTCTCGCTGCTGACCTGAGACCAGTATGAGCCAGTGGATATCTTCATAAAGGTCGTCTAGGACTTTGCGATCCACTGATCCCAGGTCAGATGAGGCCATTAGGTGCTGCTGGGTCCTCTGGAGCTGACCGTGTAGTCTGTTGACGCGGTCCTCCAGCAGGCTGCAGCGTGATGACAAAAACACAAACACCACTTTTTTTAACACGCATCAGAAAACTTAGGATTTCTGACCGACTGTTGTTATTGTTGCTGCACCAGCAGAAGGGCAGCTCTGTACTATTTCACTAACCTTGTGAGCAGAGGGATACAGTGATCTGCAGCCACACGCCCCAACATGCCGATACTGGACAGCTGATCTGAGAACAGTTCTCTGTCGTCCTCCTGCAGCTCATTGATCTCCTCCTCATCGTGGGAGGAAATGTCATTCACTGACTGAGGGTTGACAGGAACAGGTCGGGGTTTAATAACCACAGCTAAGCAGAATCAGGGCTGAGCCGGCGGTGAAGAACCTCACCAGATTGCGAGTGCCGTCGGGAGCAGCCAGGTGACACTGGATGTACGAGTTAAAGACCTGGATGGCCGGCTGGACGAAGCAGCTGCGTGGAAAATGTTCTTCGTCCTGAACAAGAGTGAGCCACGACTCCAGCAGCTTGTCGTAGGCCTCCATGTAAACCATATCGTCCTTATCCAGCTGAGGAAAGAACAGAACAGCAGAGGGCTGGTGGGCGAATGGCGTCACAATAACACCAGACAGCAGAGAGAGGGTATAAAACAGGCAATCTAGGAATGGCTGATATGGCCTAAAATCCATTTCACCATATGACCTGAAGCACGTGCAACAACAATATATATCACCACCTTTTCTTCTGTTTATGAACATTCTTATGAACCAGATAAATTGCAGCAGAACAAATATTTCTACATAGTGTAAAATGCCTTTTAAATAATGGTTATTGTGTAAAACTGATTTAAAAAATACAAAACCTTTCCTGTAATTTTTATGTTGTTTTGATTATATTTCCAAATAAAGACACAAAAATGTTCATAAAATGAACAGAGGCAAGGCAGCTATATATATATGGTATATATACCATATATATATATATATATACCATATATATATATATATATATATACCGTATATATATACACCGTATATATATATATATATACCGTATATATATACCGTATATATATATATATATATACCGTATATATACGGTATAAATATATATATATAAATATATAAATATATATATATAAATATATATATATATATATATATATATATATATATATATATACGGTATAAATATATATATATAAATATATAAATATATATATAAATATATAAATATATATATATATATATACGGTATATATACGGTATAAATATATATATATACGGTATATATATATATACATATACGGTAAATATATATACAGTATATATATATATGGTATATATATACGGTATATATATATACTGTATATATATATATACTGTATATATATATACCGTATATATATATATATATATATATATATATATATATATATACTGTATATATATATATACTGTATATATATATATATATATATATATATATACCGTATATATATATATATATATATATATATATACCGTATATATATATATATATATATATATATATATATATATATATATATATATATATATATATATATATATATATATATATATATTCTGCTGCTCCGAGAATAATTATAAATTTATGACATTTTCCCAAATCTGCAAAACTCACTGGAAGGACACAAACCGAGGACGATATTTTCCTGGTATAGGGTTTATTACTCAAGTAAGGGTAAAAAAAGTATCTGATTAGAAGGCTACTTGAGTACTGAGTATCATCTGATCTAATATTTTTAAAATGATGACATCAAACAGACAAAAAATAAGAAGTTATGGGCAAATATTGGTATTTTAAAGGCTAAAGGGGAAAAAATGTAAACAAATAAACAACATAATTACAAAATAACACATTTTAGGCAAACTTTAGACACAAACTGAGGACGATATTTTCCTGATATACAGGGTTTATTTAGTTGTCTGAAAAAGTAACACGTTTAAAAAAATACCGCGATAATACCGAAAACCGTGATCATTTTGGTCACAATAACCGTGAGGTTAAATTTTCACACCGTGACAACCCTACCCACACCGTACAAGACCTCTGAAGAGGAGAAACCTTCAGGGAAGCTGGTTGGAGACACTGAGCAAAAGTATTGGGAGGAGTTCTGCTAGATGCTGGTGGCATCAGTACTCACCACTTCCTCCAGGGCAGCGCTGCGTCCAAATGAGCAGGTGAGCAGTGTGAGGCAGTTGATGAAGGAGGTGAAGAGGTCGCTGGGCAGTGCTGTTAAAATGCTCCGTGGAAACATAGTGATCAGATTTGAGATTATATTGGAAATGCCCACAGCTTCTGAGTCTTCAATCTCAATCCTGAAAACACAGAAAATAAAGCCCAACCTCAGAAATAAGAAAACTCCATGACTGTCAGAAAAGCCTTTTATTTTCTGCTCTGAGCCATGTTTTGGCCTGAAGAAGGAAAGTTTCCAGTGTCCAGACTGAGGCTGAACCGGGGTCACTTTCCAGTTTACCCACTGGTGAGTAAAAGTTGGAAACTTCAGTGAAAATCGATCCTTGCCCCAAACTCGTAGGCAGCTTGACCTGAGAGCTTTTCCCCCCACACAGCTGCACCGGAGGTCGTTTTTACGGTTTACTTTAATGCTTGTAATAAAACATTAAATGTTAAACATGTTTACTGAGTGAAACTCGTTAAGCTTTGTTTCTTTACATTTAGTGTGATTGAAGCTGAAGAATCACCTCTTTCCGTTTTTGCTGCAATAAATGGTTCAGAACATTTAAAGCTCTCATTCACTTGTTTTTTCAGCAGATCTGCAGGGTCTCTAGTATAGACGGGATGTCCTGTGAGTCACTCTGTGGGGAAAAAAAAGCTCTGGCGCTACTGTTTCAGAAAGTGGAAGATAGCTGGAGGAGAAAACGGCAGGACCTGGCATCTTACTCATCCTTATTGATGATATTCTGACATCTCACCTCTGATGGGCCAACAGCAACGTGACTCTACCACTGACTCTGTATGCGCTGCAATTCTGATGTTTTATCTCCACAAATAACACAAGTCTGGAGGAGTTCTGCTGTGTGGCGGAGTTGCTAATGCTAACAGTTAACTTCTACTAGCCTAGACGAGCTGTTTCCTGGATGCTAAACCAACAACAGCCTTCCCTGCTGCGAGCCAACATGGGTGAGTTCATGAATGTTTAGTGACAGTGTGACGTAGATCTGTCAGGCTTTTCTAGTCCTAGGTTTTCACTGTCTATTTTCTATCAGAGGCTAATGCAGGAGATAGGTGTAGGAGACTTTTTTATGTCCAGGCTGCATCATATTTCAAAAATAACAAGTGAACCTACTCATTAAATGGACTTGTCGGACTTTTTAATTTTTATGCTCGTGATTGCCCCCTCAGGCCAAAAGCGTAACGGCAGCTTCAATAGTAGGCTCGTGCACGAGGCGCGCATGCTGTACGGGCACACTCCTTAACGAAAATAACAGCTGAGACAGTCCCGTGTGTGTGTGTGTGTGTGTGTGTGTGTGTCTGTCTTTGTGGCCCGGAGGACAGAGGACAGGAGAACGCACAGCTAATTAATTAAATAATTGGGTTCTGTACCTTTCTCTTCAGCACAGCCGACAAAGGTTTATGATGGGTCAGTCCTCCTGCATGCTCAGATCATTCCCTTCCCTTGCTTGAAAAATTGTTACAAAATGAAAGTTCAACCCACATCTTTTTTATCTGTGAATTGAATGCCATTCGGCGAGTCTCAAATAAAAATTTGGGCATCTTACTGTAAAAAATATACCATTAATGTAAAAGAGAAACTCTAAATGAACTATGTTCACATCCATAAACAAACCCAGGACTTCTGCATGGGGGTCAGACATCTTACAAGGTGAGCTACACTCTAGTAATATTCACAGTATCTGTAACTTTTATATCCTTGCTGACAGCTGAAACAACGTCAAACCAAAGAACGGTTCGGAGTGAAAATGGCTATTTTGTTGCTAATTTGCATGAAATATCTAGAAGAAAGTTCAACAGAAAGTAGCTAAGGGTCCTCAGAAATGTAGCTAGCTTTGTCACTAGGCGTTAGGAACAGCGACAAAGTGGAACTGCCTCTCTCTGCTGCTAAAGCTACTGATAGCAAATGCTACGGGCTATGCCTGAGCGTGAACGCGCATGAAGCAGCCTGCTCGACCCGAGCAGCTCTCTTTTACTGTGATTTTACAGAAAAACAGGCAATCACAGTAAAAATGCCAGGGCTCATTCTACAGGACCAGGGCATTGCAGGAGAATGTATGAAGAAGACATTTATTATTTCCATACATGTTTTGGCTGTCAAACTTCCATAATGTCACTTTAAGAACACTTTCGGTCTTCTTAGCTACCTTAGTTCACTAATCATTCTCCAAACTGCTCACACATGTGTGCACTTTCATGAGGCTAATGTTGCAGAATCAAAGCAGAGGTGGTGTGTGACGTGAAGAAACATGCATACACCCTGCTGTTTTACAGACATTTCACAAACATCTTGTTATTAAACACACCAGGCTGATCAAACCAACGAGTGGCATTAACCTGATAAAACTGTTATCCCACTTTGAGTGCAACCACTCTTGAGAACTGCATCACTGATTGTGCTGGTTTTAGATAAATGCTACAAATATTTTGAGAACACGTCCACAAAAATCTAAAAGCTTTCCGTCTCCTCTGTGTTTAATCTGCCACTCTGCCTCAGTGACAGAGCAACACAGAGAAGCCTTGCTAAACCCTATCTGATGGGGCTAAATTGCGTGCAGAACTGTTCAATCACTGCAGATCGGCCATCCCTCTCCACATGGTTTTCCGATGAGGCAACTGGAAAAAAGCTCCAAGAATAGGTGATTACAGACGTAGCAGGAGAGCAGGGAGGAGGACGGAGAAAACGGGACAGCAGAGGAATAGAGACCACTTCTCAGTTAGGTTGAGAGCCTGATACTCATGCATGCTGAGGGTGGTCAGATCAACACATGACTGGCTGAAAAATTAACCACAAATAAAATGACTTTCTTCACACACTGGCCTCAAGAGCCTTTTTAAAAAGGAAATAAAAAGCTGACAGATGCTTTAACATCTGTAGGAGACATCTGTAGGAGACAACGGCTCAGGAAAAATGCAGGATAAGTCATTCACTTTGGAGACATTCTGACATAAAACCCACGACTGACACCATTATGTTCTGGTCACAGTTATGCTAGTATGTGGATCTGCTAACTCCACTTGTGATATGTCAACAGTGAAACCTCCCACAAATCTCTGCTAATGCATTCTCCACAGACACTTCCAGGCTGCACAAGATGGAGCAACAATCAATGGTTTCAGGCAGGAAACACACTCAACACACCTTCGAGAGAAGTTCTACACAAGCAGGAGGCCCTTTGACAAATTCCAGGTGGCGCTGACTTAAACTGATGTCAGTAGGAGATAAATATACATGAGACGCTAATTCTGGAGATCCAAAGTCCTGTTATTAGTGACATCACATCCTGGTATGGCCTGCTGTTGAAAGTGTCCTGAAAGGAACTTTCAAATTAAATTTATTATTATTGTTGTTATTATTATTATTATTATCATCTAGCAGAAGCACTGGATGTACGTCTATAACTGATTATTGTTTGGAGTCAGCCCTATCCAAGATGGCTGCCACAGAAAAGCAACATTATCTACAAAAATGGCTACAAGTCAGTTAATTTAAAAACATTTTGTTTATGAAAATGTTGAAAGCTTCATGTATGTTTGTGTGTGTTTATAGACATGCAAATGATGTAATCATCAATCAGCACGGACACCACGGCACCTTCATTTCCTACTGGCATCAAACTAAACCATGTTATTTGTTAATTCTGAATCAGCTGCTACTGTTATGTTTATTACATTCTGCAGCTATTTTTAGCAGACGTTAATTATTGGTTAGGATGTGTTTCGGTCTTTACTTTAAACCTGATCTAGGAAATATGCCATAAAAGAAAAAGTTTTACTGCAATCTAGCCTAAACTTTCCAGTACTGAAATGGTAATTGACACCATTTTATAGGTTTAGTGGATGTTTAACCATCAACCACAGCACAAAGTGCAACAATCCCTCTTCAGTGTTTGTGTAATAATCTGTGAATGTTTATTCTACTGAGTTTTTACAGCAGACCCACGTTTGAATGGCTGCTAATGAAGGTTATTTGTTTTAAGGAAACCAAACAATTTGATCTACTTGAGCATAAATTTGGTTTCAGAAACATCTGGGAAAAATAAACCTGTGGTTCCTCTATTTACTTTATTTGTCATTGAACTGCAAGACAACTTTCCCATGATAGAAGAGGGTGGCATTAAACGAAGACTCAACAAGCAATTAGTTCCTGTAAATAAAGCTGAAATGGTTCAATATGCGTCACCCTCAGGTTGACATCGGCCTCCATCCCTTGTTGTGTCTCTGAATTTAGTCCTTGAGCTACATGTGGGCTCAGAGCTGAAATAAAAACATGAGCAAACTTTGAATCCTTTCTTATTTAATCTCCGAGTTGCCTCACAAACAGCCTCCTTTTCTGTGATGGTTGAAGGTTTAAAGATGTAAATCAATATCGGAAAGGCTTTCACCTTAAAAGCACCGTGCATTTGAGAGAAAAGCTAATTCAGGGTACGGCAGCTCACGCTGAGCAGTCTAACAGCCCCTGCATTCGTGGGGCGGCTGCTTTCACTTGGCAGGTTTAAATTAGCCCCATCAGTGTGTGTGTGTGTGTGTGTGTGTGTGTGTGTCAGAGGAAATGACTTGGTGGATTTGCAGATTATAAAACACAAGACTTGTCAAACTGTCAAAGAAAAGCATGAACAGAATAAAAGTGACTTATAATAATGATATTAAAACTAAGTGAGGATTTATTTTTCCAAACAATGTAATGTATGCTGGTCTGCGTGTTTCAGGGTCTTGTTACAGGTGATGCGTTGAAAGGCAGCGACAGAAAACTCAGCAGACAGACAACAACAGGTAAACCAGCCGTCTTCAGACCGAACACCAGGACCTGCATCAGGAAAGCACCTTGAACAAACCTGACATAACAACAGTTGCTTTTAGGAAGGTGAGATGTTTGATAAAATTCCCCATTCGTTTTTCCACAACCAGCCCAAACATGACACCTGCCACCACCGGCCTCGTGCTGGACATGAGGCGTTTCAGCCAGGACCAAAGACGCTATCCAATCATAAATAACCCACTTCATCATCATTTCCACATTGTGTCGAGCTCTGTGCAACCAGGATCAGCTGACAGCTCATGAACAGAACGTAAATGGGGAAAACACTTTTCTACGTGCAATACTGAACGTATAAATATCCCATCCTGTAAAGGGTGTGAGTACGCCACCATCACTCACCCGTTAATCATGCTGAGCAGCCCTTCCACCATGTGGGCCAGGTAGGAGATCTGGGCACTTTCGTCTGGGAAGATGGGCCCATGCATGGAAGCCAGCTGGGCCAGGCACTGAAGGGAGTCCTGGGCCATGTCTGAGTCCTCCCGAATCTTCCGGTGTATCTGAAAACCAGAGAAAACATTCACGGCTCTGCTTTCGGAATACAACATGCAGATCTCTCAGAGTTCAATAGTCCTGCAGCTTAAATTGTTAGGATGAGCAAAAACTAGAGGGAAAAGTCCTGCAGTATCATGCTGCCTGAAGGCAGAGTCATACATCTGCTATGATCCAGGAAATGTGTAAACATCTCAAACAAAGTTGGTCCCTCTAAAAACACAACTGTGGGTTAGCCATATGAAACCCTGTCCCCGCAGCAGAGGTCTGCCAATGACCAAAACTCCAGCTGATTCCCTAAAAAACTCAGATAAGCCAGAATAGAGACACACCTTTTAAACATAACATGTTATTAGCAGGAATGAAAAAAATATGCTATTAAATTTACTCATAAAACAAATGGGCAGCAGGTTTTAAAATACAGACCTTCAGTCGGACACAAAAACTCAGACTTTTAGATTTGTGACAGAAAGTAAAGTAACTGTAATCCTAAAGCAAAACCCTTGGTGGTAACAGCTAGAGGTGGCTGATATGGACGATATCACAATTTACTTTTTGCAGAATCACAACCATGATTTTCTTATGATCTTTCCCATTTAAAGGGACATTATGGAAGTTTGACAGTCAAAACATGTATAGAAATAATAAATGTCTTCTTCATACATTCTCCTGCAATGCCCTGGTCCTGTAGAATGAGCCCTGGCATTTTTACTGTGATTGCCTGTTTTTCTGTAAAATCACAGAAAAAGAGAGCTGCTCGGGTCGAGCAGGCTGCTTCATACACGTTCACACTCAGGCATAGCCCGTAGCATTTGCTATCAGTAGCTTTAGTCTTTGTCGCTGTTCCTAACGCCTAGTGACAAAGCTAGCTACATTTCTGAGGACCCTTAGCTACTTTCTGTAGAACTTTCTTCTAGATATTTCCTGCAAATTAGCAACAAAATAGCCATTTTCACTTCGAACCGTTCTTTGAACGTTGTGTCAGCTGTCATCAGGAATATAAATATTACAGATACATAAGACATCACTGGCGCTTTAGCTCACCCAGTAAGATGGCGGACTCTCGTGCGGAAGACCCGGGTTAAAGTCCCTTTAAACAATTCAGATGTTTTGGAAGTTATTTACCAGTAAAATACACCAATTTAAAAGCATACCTCTTCACAGAAAATAGAAAAAAGCAAGAAAAGCAAGAAAATTATCTTTTATATAGCGCCTCTCAAGATAAAAATCATGAGGCGCTTCAGAAGAACAGAAAACTCTAAATATACAATAAGAACATCTTCAAAAATTATTTAAAATATGGTTAAAATAGTAGAAAAAAATAATGATGAGAAAATGAAATCCATCCATCCATCCATCCATCCATCCATCCATCATCTCAGTTAAGAGCTAGAGATACATATCTTAAATGTCCCACAGGCAGTTTTATTAATTATATATTTATAATTAATGCTAAATTATTTAAATTCCATCTAGAGGTGGCTCCTATCCTATCATCCACAATATTACCAGTAATAATTTCTTGTCCCGAGAGATAAGTTTATCATGTTAAGCAAAATTTAGGAATGCATATTGGTGAAATTCTAGCTATACGATACGTATCACAATACAGGGGAGACGACACGACGTATCACAATATATTGCGATACACTCAGTCAGACGATATTAGCAATTTTTTTTAGACTGAAATTATTGTAGAAAATAAAAAAAAACTGTCTAAACTGATACGTAACATGTTTAACGTGAGGTATCTGAACCATAACAGAGGGATTTACATTTCAACGGTGGAAACAAAACCCATTGCACACTGCTGCCAACTAGTGGTCCGCGTTTGAATTGCACCAAAAGAAAAAAAAAACACACAAATGTTTGCATGTAAATTCTTCCAAAAATTCAATACACAGCTTTTATATATTTTGTTATATCGCCGAAAAAAATTTGCAATATGTTGCCATATCGATATTTTCTTACATCCCTAGCTAAATACATGATGTATTTGCATGCACTACTCAGAGGATTACACTCCCAGTATTTAGGCTTTGCTGCTGTCAGTAGCTTTTTCCCGACTATGCGATGGCGGGGTTTGGCCCGTCTTTCTTTACACAAACAAAATAAACAGAACTATGGTTGGCAGCCACAATAAAAAGGCTCGCTAAAACACAAATGAACGTCCCCAAATTATAAAAGCCATGAAGCCAAATGCAAAGTTTAGAGCAGGACATTAACCCTGAGGTTTTCTGATTGAGCAGACGCGTGAGAATACATGTAACGACTGCTCAGAATCGACGCAAACTAGCGGCTAACCGCTAGCGCTATAATGATGTGCTTCTTCAATCAATGATTCATATTTGTTCATGTTCGCATCTTAATGCATCTATTATTAAAATATTTTTCTCGGCTCTACTAAGCACCCCAGCCAAACAAACCAATACGCTGCCAAAAACTTGATCCGACTGGTTCATCTGTGTGTCTGTCAGGCTGAGAGCTATGACCAACAGAAGCAGCTTAACAAATGGCATGACTCGGCTGAGAGAAAAAACCAAATGTGAGCCCGTAGACATGTCCAGAAACAAAGGCAGACGGGTGATGAAATGCAAATAGACAGTTCTACGATCTCCGAACTTCGGCAGATTGTCATCACTTTACAATCCTTAACGATCTTATATCGTCACATCGCACGGCCCTAGTAACAGCTTTAAAAATCAGTCACCAACGCAGCCAGATGTTATTTCATTCTTAATAGTAAATGATGGAGTCATTCATTAATGGTACTGCACACCTTTTTATGGTGCTCAGAATATTACATTTAGGATAATTTATTTAAAAAAAAACTTTTTATGCGGCTGAGCAGGAAATCGTTAGTTTTAGATAAAACGTAAACTTTTATAGCCATGGGGGACTTTCTGTAAGCATTCTACCAAAAGATGTTTAAAACCAATTCATTTTGTTGTCTGGTTTTAAATAAGTAACATTTAAAAACAAAGCTGCCCTGTAAAAAAACTGCTCAAAATAGAAAAGCCTTGGGTCAAAAGAAGGCGAACCTGCCTCATGCTCCTCTCAACACGAGTCAAACGCCATCAGCTGACAGCGAGCAGGATTAATACTCACTGGTTTAACAAACAATCACACCCAGAAAGAAAATCCAGTAGTTGTAGGTGTGAGAGTGATCCAGTCTCAAACAATCGCTGCACTAGTCTGAGCTCTCACACAGACTTCTGATGAACAAACACTTGATGTGGACTCATAGCAGCTCTGAGCTGTCCCTCACAGGTCCAGACTCACTCCAGCAGGACAACAGGCATGGTGGGTTGTCCTAAACACCAGCACAGCAGATCCGTAGCAGTAGAGTCGCAGCAAATCATCATAGCAACATGTGTTTCCACTATACAGATGTCCCGAGCTTACATGCCTCCCTCCTTCGAGCCCTTCTCCTCCATCTCTGTCCTCTCCCGTGTCTTGAATTGTCATCCTACTAAATCCACAGCCAGTGTCACTTCACCAGCTCGTCACAAACCCACGTCTAGCCTCATCCAGGAGGCAATCAAACTTTCAGCCTCCTTCTCCTCATCTGCTTCCTTTAAGATCTTCTCCCCTTCTCAGTTTCCCTGCTTTGAATTCTTTGTTGCTGCGTCTCCTCACTCCTCCTCCTCCTCTCGTTCTCCTGCTCTACAGCTGTGGTTCCCTGCTGCCCAGTTGGTCTCCAGCCACACTGCTGCACGCTAGAGCCTCAGATGCTAGCGTGGTGTAGCCACCACACTGCTGCTCATTTTCTTCCAGAGCGTGAAGTCATCCTCTGGAAGAGCTCAGCAAGAGGACAGGGGGGAGGAGGAGAGGGTAAAACTGGTGAGGGAGGGGGAGAGAAAGGAAAGGGGAGGAGTAGTAGATCAGCGCAAGGCCAGCTGACTGAACAGCGCCCGCTCTGCAAGGCAGCTGCTTCAGCGAATGAGCCATACCATGCCAGTAAAGTCAGCCGCCTCCAGCCTGACTATAGTTAGAGATACAGTGTGTGTGTGTGTGTGTGTGTGTGTGTGTGTGTGTGTGTGTGTGTGTGTGTGGTATGAATGGAGTAACAACACATGAGATAAACAGTCTAAAACATTTTTACCATTTCCAGTTGGAAAAGGCAAATAATAAATAAAACTAAACCTAATGACAGATTCTTTTCAGGACTCTGCTTTGTCTGAGATGATCCATCATGTTCACCTGAACCTACCCACCTTATTTTACATGTTCCTTATGGAGACACGATGATGTAAGCAACATCTGGTGAGATACCAGAACTAGAGTATACCCATTCATTTACATGGTGAGGTTTTGTTGCTAGTAGCAGTTTATTTGACCATTTCAAGAGGATTTTTAAAACGATTGAACCCTGAAAAATGTACTTGCATGGCTTGGGAAGATGTCGTACTTTTCGCGGCAGTACGAACAACCAGAGAAAATTGAATTTGTGTCAACAAGAGCGATGTTTATACCACGCAACCTGGAGTAAGAGAGTGTGGCTGCCAGCGTCGGCGCAGCTTTCACTGCCTCCCCCAGAGGGATGTGGCTGAAAAATCTTAATTTGAAAACCACTAGAAACTTCAATTGTGCATTCCTTTCCTTTTATTATGAAAAACCCAGGGAGGAACACTTGCATCCAACTTTGTTGTTGGATATGACAAACCTCCGGAGAAGAGACGCTGGGTAGTAAAGAGATTTGACACCAGTCTCAAAACAACAACAGGTACGATTTTATGTACAATTCTCTGAATAGTTTTAATGTAATGCGCGTTTAGACTGCTGTTGTTAACCTAAAAGTGTCCTCATGCAGTTTGATGTAGAAACTAAAACCCCGGCTTGTTACTATGTAGGTATTGATAAGCCTCGGAGCTTTAAGATTGTTTATTGCCTTGCTGTAGCTAAGTAGCTAAAATGCTACTGTTTGTTAGCCTTGGCTAGATTTTAAGACTGTTTCTTAAAGGGACATTAAGGAAGTTTGACAGCCAAAACATGTATAGAAATAATA